TGTTGCACAACTCTCTTAGCACTCTAGGATGCACCATGTCAGGGCCGGGACTCTTATGGACCCTTAGCCTGGACAGTTTATTTCTAATACCCTCTTCTGTGAACACAATGTGGGTCAGTGCTGTGTCGAACTGTCTGTCCTCAAATGCAGGAAGGTTAGTTGCATCCTCTCTTGTGAACACCGAGGAAAAGAAGCTGTTCAATGCCTCAGCTTTATCCTGGCCAGAATCTGCGTAACTACCATCTTCATGCCTCAGGTCTGATACTCCTACTCGCATTTTCAATTTCGACTATGCATAGCGGTAAAACGCCTTTGAGTTTGACTTGACCTCGCTTGCAACCAGCCTCTGGAACTCCTTTTCAGCCCTTCTACACTGTATCTTTGCTTGGTTTCTGGCTCTTGCATACATCCTCCCGTCTTGCTCATCGTTTGACCCAACCCAAGTCTTGAATTTCTGGGTTTTCTTCTTAATTTTAACGACCGCCGCATGGTTCATGTGTAGGGATCCCCTCGTATTCCTAGAAGCACTGGGTTTGGTCTTGGGTATATATTTATCGATCAAATGGGTCACTTTACTAGTTAAGATATTCAGCGTAGTGTCTGCACTCTTGTATCTTAATGAGTCAGGCCAGTTGATACCACTCATCTCTTCCCTCATCCCGTTGTAATTTCCCTTGTAATATTTGCACCTTGGCCTGGCCTTATCCTTAACTAGGTAACAGTTAAATCTGAATGACAACACTATATGGTGACTGGTGCCAACTGGGGCAAGGTGTTCCAGTTTGGCCACCATACCCTCCCCGTTTGTTATGATGAGGTCTAGTGGCTTGGGTGTTTGCTCCCCTCTGTAATGTGTCGGGTCTCTAACATGTTGGAACAGAAAATTATCTCTCAGAGTTTCTACAAAAAGAGTAGCAGGGTTATTCAAGTCATTTGGGGTGGATTCGTTTCTCCAGTCGATGTCGCCATGGTTAAAATCCCCCATGATAAGGAGGTGGCTAGGGTTGAACATTGCCGCATTGTTTATTAAGGTTCTTAAGTTCCTTTGATTTAGTGGGCCACAGTTTGGGGATCTGTAGATACACCCGACGATAAGTAAGTCCCCTCCCTTTAATTTAATTTTACACCACTGGACTCTTCAAAAACATACTCTCCCTGTACTCTCGCCTGGCTGGCTCTAAGGTCTTGCCTAGCATAGATAACCACATCCCTCTTGCAAGTTTCTTGAGAAAGGTTTGTAAATGCGTCATATCCAGCAATACTGAACTCACATTCCTCTGGGTCGATTCTCCTGTTCTTGTACAACAGTTCTACAACTCCTATGATATCTGGTTGGTGTACTCTTAGAAGTGTTTCAAACTCCTCTCTCTTATCGAGAAACGTGTACTGGCAAGAGAAAACTCATGCAAGTTGCTTCCTTGTTCGTCACGAAGAATAGTTAGTGGCGGTAGCTGAATGCAAGAAGAAGGAAGCAGTGCTTGCACCTTAACTAAATGTAGTTTATCAAATTAATGTAGACATGATTTATGAAGTTAAGGAACATTATAAAATTTAAAGTTATTGTGGATAGTTCCCCGTTCAAAATATGTTACGTTTGTCCCTAGGAAAACTAATAAAAATACGTGAATATATGACATCATGAGGGGGCAGGCGAGCACCCTGAGGGACGCGTTCAATGGCCGGGTCTCAGTCAGTTGGCGGTCACTGACCAAGATGGATTTCTCAAAATACGTGCTCTGCCGAGGAAAACAAGCCCATTTCTTTACTGGCATGTACAGTGGTCCCTCGGTTAACGAGCACAAATCGTTCCAGAAGGTTGCTATTTAACCGAAAAACTCGTTAACCGAAACCATTGTTTCAATGGGTTTTTGGGTAATTGGTTCCAGCTCACCGAAAATTGCCTAAAATCAACAAAAAAGGTAGTAAAGTATACTTACTTTGAGGTGTGTATGTAGAAGGCTCCTGGATGATGATGATGATGATGATGATGGGAATTAGAATGGGGGTGGAGGAGAAGGGAGAAGAGAAGGCATTGGGGTGGAAAATAAGTCACCCCCTGATGCCATTTCACCCATAAATTTTTAGTTCTCTTGGTGTAATTCAAGATTATTTTCTTTAAATCAACACTGCACTGCATTATATATTGTAAATATGTAAAATAAATTTCAAATTGACCAATAATTTAATTGGAAACACAGAAAAAAAGCATTTAAATGAAGAGTCTCTCGAGCAAGATGTTATCTCCACCGAAAAGACAGAGAGACTGACGCCTGTATGGTGTGTTGACAGGCTGTTTGGCGTGCAAAAAACTAGCTTCCTATACTTCAATTATGTTCAATAATTGTTAAAATGACTAAAAAATTTAATATAAAACTTTTAAAATTACTGAATAGTACAAACTTCTTGATATTTACTAAAATAGTAAGGAATTTAAGCCCTAGAACCAATTACTGTATTGGCGGACTAATACTACAGCTGGAAGACCGCCAAATGTAAGCAAAAACATGTGGAGGTCGGCTCATTAAAAATTCGTTAATCGAAGGATTGCTCGTTAACCGAAGTTAAGAATCTTATGGAAGGTAATTCGTTAACCGAAATCTCGTTAACCGAGGGATCACTGTACCCTTATTATTGAGTGTTGAAATTGTGCCTGGTTTTTGAGGAAAGTGAAATTAAGTATGTGTATCACCATTTGCTTTTGTGATTGATCATTGGGGCAGTATTCCGAGTAGTTTTGAGGAATTAGAATTAAGACAGTTTTTTTTATGAAGAATAGATGGATGATGTTGGTGATCTAAAGGCATGACGGCCACAACAGGTGAGCAAGGAAAGCTTTACAAGGCTGTGCACACAGAGACAGCAATAAGTGTTGCTTGAGCAAGTCAGGGGGTTAAGAAATGTGTGGATGGAGATGTTCATTCAGAGGAATGACGCCCAGGTCTCACCACAGATTGCTTCGTCAGGATGGGGACCTGCTGAACATGAGAATGAAGTAGTTGGACAGGAAATTAGGGGATGCCCTTCCTACTGGTTTACGGGAGAAAGGCAAATCAGTGATTGAGAGATCTTAAAAGTAGTATGCATAAACTGTCATCTCTTGATTGACTCCTGAGACAAAGCTGTACCTAAATTAAACAATATTTTATTACTTTTTTATGTGTTTGGTAGTAAATTAGAGTACTTGTGTACCATTTATCATTAGTTAGGTGGGTTTTGTTCTTGTTTGTCAAGTGATTTCATGTTTTTGAAATATGATATTGGGGTATTTTTGTCATTGGGGAACCAAACCCTATTTTTCACTTTGTTTTTCTATTCATGATATGAAAATTCTACTAACAAATTTTTTTTTTTAACCTAACCCATTTGTATCTCTATGGATATCTGTACAGCTAGTAGATGTTGATCATGGTAAATTCTTCACTTTAGGAAATGTGCTTGGTCGTATCTGACATCTTTACATTTATTAAAATATTTACATTAATATTTACACATAAAAGGACTTTTTGTACTGCAAAATAATATACAACTTGCAAATAATATAAGTTAACAACAACAAAAGATCTTCCCATGTGGGGACTTACAGAGCAATATTAACAGAATTAGACTAAAGTGGAAAATGGACAATTCTACATGAGCATTCAGTTGATCAGCTGACTCATACACAAAGACATTTTGACAGCTCATCTGAGATCAATGCCTTTGCTCAAAAAGGAAAAACAAAATTATTTAACATACTGTGCTTTACAACAAAACAATCAAGTTTACATATCACTACCTCATTCAGCAAGGGATTTACTTTACTAAAGCATACAATGTTGAAAAAATTGCTCATGAACAATGAACATTAATAATAAATATGTACTGTACAGGAAAAATATACACATAAATAAGATCTGCACACACCGAGTACACTTTGTGCACTACACATATTTACAGCATTGCACTGGGTTGTCTGTTGCGAGTCCTGATATGATGCTGTTTTCCTACTAAAAGAAGTTCTTCATTAAATCTTAAAATTGTCTTTTATGTAAAGTCCACCTTTGCATTTTTCTTATAACAGATAACTTTTCTGTAATAGTGACTATTATGAAATATTGTCATGGAATTTGGGACATTAATGAGACCCAGGATAACTTGGGACATTAATGTGACCCAGGATAACATGAGACATTAATGTGGCCTTGGATAACTTGGGACATTAATGTGATCCAGGATAACAGGAGACATTAATGTGACCTAGGATAACTTGGGACAGTAATGTGACCTGGGATAACATGAGACATTAATGTGATCTAGGATAACTTGGGACATTACTCTGACCCAGGATAATTAGGACACAGATCACATTTTAAGATATCACACAAGCAAAATTGAAGAAGCTTTATACCATTCGTATACACAATGCTAACAACAACCATTGCTCTACACAACTACGAATAACATTGCAGCTTGTAAGACTGGGAAGTAATGTTCTGTTAGGACTGTTCAAAGGAATCATAAATAATTCAGGCTGTTTGTTTTATGTTTTCTATCTGTCCATAAAGAGTTCTTTCTCTGACTTTTAGCTTATCAACAATACCATTAACATGTGCTGAGATACGAATGAGAGCTTGCTGGCGATTATGAAAACCGAGTTCCTTAAAGTTAGATTTTCAATGTATTTCAAGTTCTATGTCTGATTAGACTTGAAGGGTAACATAAACAGTGTTCTTATTTTCACTAACGTTCAAGCACTTATGATTCAATAAACTGTATACATGTAGTGTATTTGTTCAAGTTCACAAACACTTAATATATTATAAGTTGACAAAAGCCATAAATGCTGATCTCAATATATAAATAAATAAATAAATAAATAAATAAATAAATAAATAAATATATATATATATATATATATATATATATATATATATATATATATATATATATATATATATATATATATATATATATATATATATATATATATATATATATATATATATATATATAAAGTGAGCCTGATTGCAAAAGGAAGTAATTTATAATGAACATATTCAATTACAAATCTCACAAATCAAAAAGATTTTTCTGGAGATTTTATCATTTAATATTCTTTCTGCTGATCCTTGTATAGTCAATATGTGTACCTAACTGCTAACATGTCATTGTTTCAACTCATCACGTAGTATTAAAAATAAAGTTGGCTTTATGAATTTCTTAACATCTTAATTTATGTCTTTTCTATTTAGATCTATATGTCTTGTGCTGTGTTACTCCCCGGTGCTGGGCCTCGGCGACATCCCCGTCTCTCTGTCAGACAGTGGTCTCAGTACTGTCTTTGCTGTAAGAGGAAATAATTGACTAAAACCATAGCCCATATCTTATCATTAATGTCATTGTCTACTGTATTTCACATGTAAAAAAAAATATTCAGCGTACATGAATTTATGCAACATTGAATGTTATACTGTATACTATTCATGCTTGTCTAAATACAGTACAAGAAGGGACTGGTGGATACTTGGTGAAATGAAAGAAAAAGTATTTTTATATAATTCATGTCAAATAACCAGAAATACTTAAAACTACAAAAAAGTATGAAAGTAAGATACTGTCAAGGTATGAGTAGGAAACCCTCAAGCATAGTTAAGTCTGAAAACCAAGAAATACAGAGTTTGCAAAATACTGGAGAAGTTCATCTATAACACACTACACATTTTTGCTCTACATGCTGAGTAAGTTGATCATATTAATTTATTTTCTATATCAGAAGGCTTACTCATTTAAATAATATACATCACTACACTTTTTAAGGCCAGTGTGTCATGTTGTCTGTATAACTTTAGATGAAGTAAGCTTCGATAAGGGAGTATTAATTCCTTACCAATTTTACCTTAATCTTCCCTATGGATGGCAAAGAAAATAAGACAGTATGTAATTACAAAGAAAACCAGAAAAAAATTACCCATCATTTCAACACTACCTTTGCCATAATTTTCTACAGTAAATGGATGGGACCAACTTTTGTAAAATGGCAAATATAAAAGTGACAAATGTGGATCCAGAGAATGTTATCTCCATTGTCCACCACCATAGGGTTTTATGAAATTTTGAGCATATATGTTGTAAATTTTTATCCAGAACTACTAATACTGTATTTGAAATGACACACAATAATTGCTATGAATTTCTTGTAATGAAACATGAATGTCTAATGTGGCCTTTTTGTTAAATTTTATATTCAGAACTTCTGTATGAGAACAGTAAGCTTACTCAGAGTCAGAGATGCCTAGAGTAAGGGCGGAGATCTTGTGGGTGGTGACAAGAGCAGCCGGGAGGGTTGGGGGAGGCGAGGGTGGAGGGGGGTCGGAGGGAGAGATGTTGAGGTTATTTACTTCCATCATGTTGTCCCCCCCACCCATGCTGCTCACCACGGGTGCTGGCAGAGCCTCAGGACTTGGGTCTGTTGGCGGACGCACATGATGAGCGCAACGGAGGGAGCACATTTTCACTTATTTCTAGCTGTACTTATTCTGATCCCATTACACAGCAAGTGTAAAAGAAACACAATATACAAGTTCTACAGCTTTCATTACTACTTTGGATACTCTCAACTTCTTTCTCTTCATTAACGTGTGCATTTATCATCATACTCTGGTTATTTATAAGATAATAAATATCATTAAATCTGTATAATGATATTAAGTACCATTACTACAATAACAATCAAGGTCTTGAATGATAAAATGTTACAGCAAATTTTGCATAATCATCTCTTTAGTGAAATGTTTCTGATATGAAGTAAATTATTCATTCTCTACCAGTGGCACAGGTGGAAAAAAAGAGGGAAATACAGATAAAAAACATCTGTGGAAACCGGGAAAAATAGTTCTGAAATATGAGACACCTGTTCTTCACATGAACTAGTTCAAATGCATCAAAACCCTATTGTGCTCTCAAAGGCTCCTGGCAGATTGGCTTATCCTCTCATATTTATACAAAGGCCACATCTTTCTTGGCTAAAAATTTAGTGCCAAGGCTTCAAAAATATATCGATGAGTGTAGGATTTTTTCCCCTCAGATGGAACAATAACAATCAGCAGTCACAGTGCAACTCCTCACAAAGGTGTAACTGAATCTTCATACCAAATATATAGACACAAACCAAGGTTCACAAGTTCCAGGAACTCAGACGCTCCAACAGTAGCCATGAAGACAATCAACTGTCATGTCTGTGTCAAAAGTATATTTCGGAATAATGATGAGCAATCACAACAGCATCTGAGTGGATGATCACTGACTGTTGATCTGAGAATAGGTTGACCACTAACTGTTGATCTGAGAATGGGTTAGCGATCACTGACTGTTGGCGTGAGAATGGGTTGGGTCTCGGAAACATGGTGCACACATTTGAAAACTACTTTGTGCATACACTACCACCACTGATACCTGATTTTGTTTTAACAAGGACTACTTTCTCTAGCCAGGAGCCAAAGTGAGCACAGTAGCATGTGCGTGGTAAGACCGGAAGTGAGGGGGAAATCAGCAATTGCAAGAGGAGAATTTACTTATGAGGCAATGATGGAAAATTTTGCAGTGCTATAAGCTTTATATATGTATACAAACACTGCAAAGCAAAGAATAAACTATACAGTCATATACTATTGTACTGCAAGTAGTATCTTCACCTTTATCTTAATACTACACACATTAGTCAATACCTTCTGCTAGATTGTGGAGGAACCGTTTTTGACTCTGTGGTGTATAAACTTGCTGCTGATGGCTGGGTGGTGTATACCGCTTCTTGTCAGCACTGTCTACACTTGTTCTGCTCGCCCGAGATTCTGTTCTTACTACTAGATTCTCGGGTGATATTCGCTTAACTTCATGAGAATATGGATTTTCCTGATAGTAATTGTCATGTGAGTGTAACTGAGAAGTATTTGGGGAGTATCTTCTGGTATCTGGTGAGTACCGCCTGGAGTCTACCGTAGAGAACTTCTTTGTGTCTGGAGAGTAACGATGCTTTGTGCTTGGTGAATAAGTTCCAAACTGGTTTTCAGCAGGAGAATATCGGGAGCGAGCCTAGAAATGAGGCTAGATTTAATCTGGAGGAAATTTGATATATCTTATAGGAGAAAATTAATATCTAAATGAGTTCAATAGAAGATAAACTTCCCAGCATCATTTTAAAACTTGATCCTTTAGGACAATTGAAACAGACACTGGCTGGGGATCTATTGGCTCTCATAAATCACTTATTAAAAATATTTAGCCAATATAAAGTTTTCAAAAGGCAAGAAACAACAAAATCACACTTAGGTATAAGTATCCAGAGCAAAATTTGGATAATAATTATAATGTTTATATGAACTTAAATATTCACATATAATGGTGTAGTTATGATTACATAAACATTTCTATTTCTGTAATGATTTTCTCACAACAACTAATATACAAGACAGGTCATCAATATACTGTATGAATGAACAGGAACATGCTTATTCATTTTATTTGGTAAAGTTTTGAAAAAATCTCTTGTTGTGTTCATCAGACTTAACAAATGAAATTATAAAAAAAAAAATGACAAATTAAATTATATACAACATTGGGTACAGTAAGTGCCTTAAGAGATTCTAGGATCACAGTCAGGAGAAGACATCAGTTCATTATTTAAAATGTTCTAACTTTGATGGCAGGGTTATAACTACAAGACCTAACAGTTCAAATAGATGTGGAAACACCGACCAAAGGGCAAGAGCTCTTACCATCAGAGTAAAGGCACAACAATAGTAATGTGGAAGTCACTGATAAGGTCATGGAACATATCTTACCCATTCAAGTTCAGGTGGACTGTGAAACTCCCCAACTAGGGCAATGATATTGTTTACTCAACTTAGTCACAAAATTAAGAAACACACAAATATCGAAGTTAAGTTATTAGTAACACACGTTTAGCAGTACAGAGACATGGGGATTTGAGTGGAGATTGTATGCTGTATAGAAGAGTAATGTAAGATGAGGGTACAGAAAGATAAGTGATCAAGTGGACGGAAATTGTACTGTGTTATGACTGACCTGGTCCATATACCTGAACAATATGTTATGACTGACCTGGTCCATATACCTGAACAATGTGTTATGACTGACCTGGTCCATATACCTGAACAATATGTTATGACTGACCTGGTCCATATACCTGAACAATATGTTATGACTGACCTGGTCCATATACCTGTACAATATGTTATGACTGACCTGGTCCATATACCTGAACAATATGTTATGACTGACCTGGTCCATATACCTGAACAATATATGTTATGATATACCTGATGACTGACCTGGTCCATATACCTGAACAATATGTTATGACTGACCTGGTCCATATACCTGAACAATATGTTATGACTGTTACCTGGTCCATATACCTGAACAATATGTTATGACTGACCTGGTCCATATACCAATGCAATATGTTATGACTGACTGGTCCATATACCTGAACAATATGTTATGAACAATATGTTATGACTGACCTGGTCCATATACCTGAACAATATGTTATGACTGACCTGGTCCATATACCTGTACAATATGTTATGACTGACCTGGTCCATATACCTGAACAATATGTTATGACTGACCTGGTCCATATACCTGAACAATATGTTATGACTGACCTGGTCCATATACCTGAACAATATGTTATGACTGACCTGGTCCATATACCTGAACAATATGTTATGACTGACCTGGTCCATATACCTGAACAATATGTTATGACTGACCTGGTCCATATACCTGAACAATATGTTATGACTGACCTGGTCCATATACCTGAACAATATGTTATGACTGACCTGGTCCATATACCTGAACAATATGTTATGACTGACCTCCATGACCCTGAACAATATGTTATGACTGACCTGGTCCATATACCTGAACAATATGTTATGACTGACCTGGTCCATAGAGCTGAACAATATGTTATAACTGACCTGGTCCATATACCTGAACAATATGTTTTGACTGACCTGGTCCATATACCTGAACAATGTGTTTTGACTGACCTGGTCCATATACCTGAACAATATGTTATGACTGACCTGGTCCATATACCTGAACAATATGTTATAACTGACCTGGTCCATATACCTGAACAATATGTTTTGACTGACCTGGTCCATATAGCTGAACAATATGTTTTGACTGACCTGGTCCATATAGCGAGATAAGGCAGGACGAGATTCCACTCTCAAGTTGTCTGCTTTATCCGGCATCTCATTATCTGACGCTGTTGTGGTGGATAACCTCTCACTGGCCCACAGTGGTGATGTTATATTATGTTCTATGAAAATACATAAAAAAAAATTACTAGTGATAGCTTTACGAGGTGAACACATTTCATTTATGCTATGATACAGTATATGGATCACAGAATTTACCTGTATTAATGAAGTTAATTCTTTAATATACTGTAGTGGACAGGCAAAGACATATTCTTTTCAATTTACCTAAAATTCTTTGATTAATTATACTAACTGAAGGGTTCCCTCTGGCATCTCAACAACTATGGCAGTGTGCTTCACCTACTAACCTTTATAAATGCCTGGATTGGCTGGTGGCAGCTGATTAGACCAGCGTGTAGCAAAGAGAGGGCGTATGTTATGAAGGAGCGGGGAGCCAGTAGGGCCTGGGCCACCGATCATGCCAGGAGGAGGAGGGGGCAGTGCCTCTGCTGTCGTGTCCAAGTCATAAATGTTGGGCATGTAGCTAGATGGCTTGGGTGGAACTTCTGTACATACCACAGGATGCAATGTAAATTATCATTTTCATTGATAATGATTTCACTTTTTGTTTACCCAACAACTATAACACTTATACCCTTTAATGCAGGATATTGTAGCATTTTTCTTTACAAAGTAGAATTTTTATTTACATAAAACTTAATTGTTTTATTCAATAGATAAACTAATACATGAAAAGAAAGTTTTATGATGCAAGTAAACATTACACACTAATGACTCCAATCAACCTTTATCACATGTAAGACATACAGCCTTCATCAGGTAGTAGGCAGCTACCAAACAAGGAGGTACTACCGCCTGGGAAGATATTGGAAGCATAATGTGTTGTCTAATGGTAGACCCTGCTGCCATTTGGCATCACAAAGCTTGTGACCAAGTCCCAGGTTGCTGATCTGAATTTCTACCTCATTTACACACAATTGCAGGGTCTCAATTGTTTCTCTTACTACAGTATTGACAACACAACATATACAGTATACAGTGGTCCCTCGGTTAACGAGCACAATTCGTTCCAGAAGGTTGCTCGTTAACCGAAACCATTGTTTCAATGGGTTTTTGGGTAATTGGTTCCAGCTCACCGAAAATTGCCTAAAATCAACAAAAAAGGTAGTAAAGTATACTTACTTTGAGGTGTGTATGTAGAAGGCTCCTGGATGATGATGGGAATTAGAATGGGGGTGGAGGAGAAGGAAGAAGAGAAGGCATTGGGGTGGAAGAGAAGTCACCCCATGCCGCCATTTCACCCCAAAAAATTTAGTTCTCTTGGTGTAATTCAAGATTATTTTCTTTAAGTCAACACTGCACTGCATTATATATTGTTGATATGTAAAATAAATTTCAAAATGACCAATAATTTGCTTGGAAACACAGAAAAAAAGCGTTAAGTTGAAGAGAGTCTCAAGCAAGATGTTACCTCCACTGAAAAGACACAGAGACTGACGCCTGTTTGGTGTGTTGACAGGCTGGATGGCGCGCATAAAACTAGTTTCCTGTACTTCAATTATGTTCAATAATTGTTAAAATGACTAAAAAATTTAATATTAAACGTTTAAAATTATTGAATAGTATAAACTTCATGATATTTACTAAAATAGTAAGGAATTTAAGCCCTAGAACCGTTTACTATATTGGCGGACTAATACTACAGCTGGTGGACCGCCAAATGCAAGCAAAAACATGTTGAGGTCCGCTCGTAAGAAACTCGTTAATCGAGGGATTGCTCGTTAACCGAAGTTAAGAATCTTATGGAAGGTAAATCGTTAACCGAAATCTCGTTAACTGAGGCGCTCGTTAACCGAGGGATCACTGTACGGTATACTGTTTCTCAATTTTGATCTTTTTTTCATTTGTGTATTTCTTTATTATTATTATTATTAGTGTTGTTATTGTTATTATTATCATTATTATTTTATTTACTATGAATTATTATTATTATTACCGGTATTATCTTTTTTTTTTCCCCAGGCCCCGATGTGGGTCAGTGACCTGTGCCCAGGTGGGCTAATCCCCATAAAAAAAAATAAAAAAAAATAGGGAGAAACATTTAAATACAGAATATAAGAACATAAAACAACTACTGTACCTGGTGGTGGGTTGGTCCTTCGCTCATTGACTCTAAGTGTGCCATTGTGTGTGGTGGTGTCGTCCTCATCACTGGAGTGGGAAGATGCCAGGTCTAAGGAACGATGGTCCAGGCTCAGCTCACTTTCACTCTCACTCTCCCTGCGCTTGGTGCTACGGGCTCCAGCACCTGAGACACCAAAAAGCAAAATAGAGAAAGAATATCAACATCTGGTGTGTAAGAACAAACAAAATCATTGCCAAGTAACTTCACATTTCCATTCCAATAATCATTATTGTGTTCCCTAACCCTAAGGTTCTTTGGCATCATAGCCAGGACAAATTAGGCAGAAAGTTTCCATCATGCTCTTATTGTTACAGGAATTAGGGCAACCAATTTTTTTTCTAAAATGTAGATCATACCATCCCCTACTCACGAACCCAAAACAGATCAGCCTATATATAAATTTAACATTAATTCTAAAATCCCATTTTCGACCAGAACGATGAAAAGCAGCTCATACAATATCCTGTCAGGGCCTGCAGGTTACATTACCTTTACAAATTCCCCATTACCACAATCTTTCCATGTTGTCACAGGTACAAGGTAAGCTGTCTAACTGAGAGCTTTCAGGGTGTAACTACTGTCCTCCAGTTAAGAGCCCATAACTTGTAGGTCAGTGTCAGGGGATAAATTCTAAGTATTACCTATGGTAACTGGGAAGCTTCAGGAAGTGGAAAACAATCCTTGTAGCTCAGAAGAGTTAGCAGCTTGATATTTTATGTTAATATTTGGATTTTATCTACCAGGGGTCAGTTAACTTCTTTTGTGGTATAACAACACCTCATCTAGTGGTCAACACAACATTCGAATGTAACCTTATTCTTAAAGTGTATCCACCAGGTTTCAGCCAGGTAAAATACTCTTAGTCTCGAGAAACCAAGACCTCTGTAAGCACTCTTGCACACACACACACACACACACACTAGGCAGTGGATTTCTGAAATACTCTTCTATCCAATGTTATAGATTCAGGAACTACAGCAGAACCTCAATAGATCAGACTCAGTGGGGCAGATTCCCGAACGAAGCTGTGAATCTATAGAGGGAAGGGGGTGTTGGAGATAACACTGCTTATCTGAACGGTTTAAAGAAAATCTTTTATTAAAAAACTATTACATCAACAACAAAAACACTTGGGTTGAAAATCCGATTTAAGCCTAGTTGCCAACAACTGTTTTCACCGAGATGATTGTTATGTACAGTAAGCCCTTGTTACTTGTGGGGGTTAGGTTCCAAGGAATGGCACAAATAGGCAAAACCACAAATAGCAACTTATACTACCTTAGTGCACTACTGTATACCTATACCAAACAACCAACCAGCCACAGCAGCACTCATCCCCTCTTTTAACTTATCTAATAATTCAATTTTCTTTGTCATGTCATCACTGACTTTAGCCTTTTACATTTCACTCCACTAGCATCACTAGCACTGACATTAGGCAGTCTTTTAGGGGCCATTTCACACAGAAACACTAAAGTTTTGAGAATACAACACGAGATGCTACATCACAGGCAATGGTTGCGGGATAAGGCTCGCAAGCTAGCCACAATCTGCTTTCAGTGAACTGTCGAAATTGCGAATTGCACACCTGCAAATAGCAAGGGTCTACTGTACTGTAAAGTGTTATATGTAAATAACCAAAGAGGTTGTCTTATGAATAAGGAAAAAACTGTATACTGTACAGTACAGTACTACGAAGATAAAAATTCGAAAAAATAATTGTAGGGGTATATTGTGTGTGGGAGATGAGAGCGATCTGGGAGCTGGAGGTGGGAGGGGGGGTTAGCAGCACGGGTGGGTGGCTCCCTCTCCCAAGATACATTTAACACAACTTTATGCAATTTCACCATAATTCTCATATCAATTAGGTTCATTTGGTGCCAAGTTGATAAAATATTACCATAAAATAATCAACTTTCCTGAGAAAAGAATCCCACACTCATCACCAGGAGTCGTTTGTTTACAAAGGGCAAATAGCTGATTGGCTTAGCTCCTTCACCATTCATGCTTACCTCAACACCTGTCTTCAACACATAGTTAATTAGTACAGTACAGTTGTGTATTTATCATCACTTAATAAATAACATTGTACAATAGTGTATTTATCAGCGCTTAATAAGTAATACTGTATTGTACGAACAGTATTATGCTTCTGCATATTCCCTGGTGTACAAGCCATCATGTATCACTCAAAGGCAATAAATAACATTGCTAGGAAGGTATTTTCATATCATATACTATACAGTGTGTTATAGTGACCCTGTTGTAAGTTGATTTTCTTAAAACTCTCACACGAACGCATTCTGAGTGAATACCTTCCGACACAGCTTATCCTTTCATTTTCATGTCAAATTACAAATTACATTACAGACAGTAGTCTATAGTTTCACTATAGAATCATACATCATAAGAGACCAATCATATGAGGATATAATACTGAATAAACAAACAAACTTGGCGAATGTGGCAATGCCTGATTAGCCCCCCTCCACCTTGCAACCTCCAGCCTGCTTACATTTGCAATGTCTTAGCTCTCATTAGGCCTTTTGGTCTTCAGAAAATCTGATTAGACCACTGTACAGTATTCAGTGAGCAAGTGATTCTTTTCAGAAGATTTTTTTTTAATTTTAACCATTTCTTAAAATATGTACTGTACATACTTACATAATTTTAATCCATTTCTTAAAACCCTCTAGTATCCCTGTTAAAGATAATACCCTACCAAAAAAAGGTCTCATATATGAGTGTAGATAGTGAGGAGCGGTACACTGATACTATACACATGAAGGCACGACTCAGACGGAGAGTCTGAGACAGTGAGACACTTGCCTATGACACCCATGCACAGACGTTCAACCGCATGTACGAACACACAATGTTTGATGTTGGAATTTCCAGACTTTTTTCAAAACATTTCTGGTGAACAGAGGAGCAGTTCAGAGCACCTCAGAGTCCCCCAAAAAGTGAATTTCGATATATTGAAGTTCAGTTTATCGAGGTTTTACTGCATTGAAATATTTAAGAAGGATTTTGCTGCACAAATGGAAACAGTAAAATGGAGGCAAGAAATTAAATTTATGAAGGCCAGTCATTAGCAAGTGAGTCTCACCGTGCTTTCTGTGGAACATCGTGGAGTCATTGTAGGCATAAGGTGACTTGACTGACTGAGAGTTGAGGTCAGTGTTGGAATTGTAGTTGCTGGGGGTGCTAGAGGAAGGAACCCGTCCACCTACAGCCACTCCATCACTACGGCTATAAGGAGAACTAGAAGTCTTGCAGGTAGAGCGGGAGGTGGTGCTGGCGGTGGATATCCCAATGTTGCGCCGCAGAATATTGAAGTCATCATTGTATGTTAAAGCTGATCGCTGTTAAAGAGTGAAACACACCAATAAATTAATTAATTTCTGGTAGGTAGAGTATCTTCCAGTGATGGATGGTGTACAAGTGTATAAGAAAGATCAGGACTTTGTTGTTGTGAGACTAGATAAGTCAAAAGAGTAATTTCTGTTAATTTTCTTTCCTCACATAAAACTTACATCATAAAGTTTTGGAGAAAACTGAAAAGTTATTTCCCATTTTTTATTATTGTTATGGTTACAAACAATTTGAAATTCCAAAGCCTAAAACACAAGATTGATGAGGATCAGCATTAAGTCTAAAGTAATGTACTTCCCTTTTTCATAAAGCATCATGTGGTAGATAATGTATGAGGGAAAGTATCAGATGGCAGGTAAATGTCTCAGGATAAGTGAGTCTAGCAACATAACAGGATACATGGCACAAGTAACATCCAGATGATGTAATGCCAAGATCTATATACCACAGTGATGGTGAAGGGGACAGGATAGGGAGAGAGATGGTTCTGGAAGAGAGAAGAGAGGACGAGACACACGCACGTACGCACCAACACACATGCACACTAAGACCCTAATGTTCACAACTTCATTCATATTTGTCTAACTATAAAAGCCTTACATAATGAATCTAGAGATCAGTTATACCCTAAAGGTTCAGTCTACACTGCATTGCAGTAATTTACTGGCTTTCTTTCCAAACTCCTACTCACAATTAGTCATCTAAGACATACCGGTAAGTCTATGTCTATGTCTGAGAAAGAACTACCGTATTCTGTAATAAACAAATAAAGAGTGAGACATACCGAGACCACAGAGGTCCTGGTAACACTGAGGGACTCCTGGTATGGCACCTTCTTCCCCGTACACGTGAGGAACATGAAGTAAAGAGAGTCTCGAACACGACTGTTGAGGAGGCAGTACCCTACCAGGATGAATACTGCTGTCAGGAGCGAGAAGACGGAGAAGAAGTAATGCAATATTTCCAGATCTTCTGATACAGACAAGACAGCCAGGACCCAGGTGGCTCCCAGCAGTGGTAGGAACAGGATCCCCAACCACAGAAGAGTTCTGAAAATGAAAAATAATTGATGTATTAAAGTAATGTTACTGAAGTGTTTATATGTGACACACAACATAATTATACACTTCAAGGTTACTAAATTAATCCATAGTCATATGACAAGGGGTGCAGTGCTGCCGGGGCTCACCGGAGCGCCGCTCCGGCACCTCTGTTTTGATCAATCAATCAATCAATCGATATCGCCAATGCCTTGTTCCCTCCTGGGAACTCCCCAACAGGGGGTGGCCATGGCAGAAGTGTCTCCAGTCCATTTTATCCTTGCACACCTCACTTGCTCTCTGAAACACTCATCCTCCCCTTCCTGCTCTCTCTTCAACAAACTCTCTAACTCTTTTCTCCCAGGTGGCAATTGGTCTACCCCTCCCAACATTCCCCTCTCTCTTGCTATCATAAACTATTTTTTTCAGCCTATCTTCATGCATCCTCGGCACATGTCCATACCACCTAAGTGTATTCCTCTTCATCCACTCCACCACACTACACTTCACACATGAAGTTATAGTAAGCTCTACATGTTACTATAAATCTATATCAATCAAGCAATCAACTTTATTTTGCATTAATAATACATATACAAAACCGAATATATCCTCATATAATTAATCTCTCCTTCAGATCAGCTTACATTTTATGACTAATCAATATTGTAGAAAGACTTTGATAACAGGTGCACTTCTAAACACTTAAAAACAGTACTTTTTCAAAAGTAGGTATGTATTTCCTTGCATAAGAGCTATAGATATGTGACCAATATTGAAAGGATAAGCACATTAGACTACTACTAGATAAAATATTATACAGTACAGTATAAAAATTGGCACTGCAACACTGCATATGACGTTAAACAGAGGATAGTTATGAGTCGTGCTGACCGTGTTGTATTGCATCTCCGTAACAAAGCATGTTAGCACTCAGGCCTGCGTTGTTCAGTCATTACATAAGAGCATCAAGATCGTCTTCGTGATGTGAATGTGTAAATCGATGTAGGATTTCTAACGTTATTCGCAATTGTATATTGAAATATTCTCCCTACAGACTGGATAAGAATGCCATAAGGTATACAACCATAAAATCATTCCCATATGCCAAGATTTATTCAGAAAATTTTAAATGAGTTGCGTTCATGACTGTGATTGACCATTAAAGGCCAATCAGAGAGTGTAGTACTGTGACTTTAGCTAAGACAGTCCATAGTGACAACAGTGGCTGTGGTGGAGGCTGAAAATAAATTGAAGTGAAAAACAAAATTTGGACAAGCAACAGACACGAGTACCTGTAAGTAACCAAGACATATTGTTGGTGCCACAAAGAAAGTTTTTCTTTTGTGTGTGTGTTTTCTAAAGGACTGTAAATTGTACTTATGTTCCACTATTCATAGGGAGATACAGTGCACATAGTGATAGTATATACTGTAGACACACCAATTCGTTGAGGAGAACTAGAAAAGAGAACAGGAGTAAATAAAAGTTAAAAAACAAAAAAAAACAACAAAAAAACAAGCTGAACTGTCTCGAGCGGCAACTCTGGATGAACGAGGATGCCAACAACAAAAAAGACCCACTCAGTTGGACAGCTAGGTGACTTTAAAAAAAAATAATAATATCCTGCCGCAAGGGAATGATCACTCACACATCTTAGTTCGCTTAGATTACAAGGTGGCACATGTGATTATAAGGGAAGCCATCCAGAAGGGTAATTCTTCCTCAGAATTTAAGTGTGAGAGTCTGGTGGTTGGCATCATCCCCCCCCCCCCTACACACCAGACAAGGAGGCTTATGCACAAATGCAGTGGCATGAGGCTTTAAAGGGTCCTTGACACTTGAGCCCTGCCACCAAGGCATAGAAGCACTTATCATAGCAATAATAAACATTATTATTATTTTTATTATTATTATTACCCGGTATTATTATTAAGCTGACGACTAGAATTATATCACATCGTAAACTGGGCTTAAGGTTAAGAAAATTCTTACAGAGTCTGGACACCCCTCCCCAATAGTGACAGCTGTCAGGCAATGCGTGTCCCACAAGTGTAAGTACAGTAGGCATAAAAGGAAGAAATTTTGTGACAAGACATGATTTGGAGTAGGGTACCAGGGGCTAAAACCCCAGCATCACCAGGAAGTTTGGTTTGTTGACATGCAATTACTGCAGGGCGACGTCTGATTAACATTATGTGGGTCTGGGCTTAACAGTGTTTAGGACGGTGCTGAATGTGGTAAGCATGAATGCTGTTGCTGGTATTGCCCTGACTGCAGAACCAAAGTAAACGAGGTGATTGCAGATCACAAAGGAAAGAGATACTCAATGACAATAATAGAGGAAGCTAAATCCATGTTGGTTGCCAAGCTGGAGCAGGTTGGGAGAAAGATCCTCACTAAGACTGAGGAAGTAGCTGACAGAACAGAGTAAGTATTTAAGAGGAGCTATGCTCAGGTTGTGGCATGGTCAAGAAGGTGACAGACAGTAATGCAGGATCTGAACAGCATCCTCCAGTGGCTAGGGACTCTGCAGAAGTGTACTGAAGAGTTGACAACTAGTAGACCTACTAATATGGGAGAGAAGAAAAACAAGAACGTTCTGAGGGCAGGAACAACATAAAAGTGTTTGGAGTCCCTGAGAGTCAGTCGGAGGAAGCTGAAACTAGGAAACGCATAAGTTGAAATTTCAGAATATTTGTGATGCTCTGAAATTATCAGCTTCCACTCAGGATGTGAGGAGGCTAGGGCAAAGGCAGGAGGACAAGCAACCCCCTCCCCCTCCCAGTGAGTGATGGTAAGATATGGGAAGTTATTCAGCATGCAAAAAACATTGCAAAGAGCAATGCATTTCAGGAGTATATTAAAAAAACCCAGATCACACAGTAATGCAGAGGGAACAGCACAAAAACTCCTGGAGTCCTTGAAGCAGAGGAGGGAGGAGTCAATGAGAAGCAGGGACAGGCATACATGGGCTATATACAAGGGAAGGGTAGTGGAGGCAAGTGCACCAGTACAGAGCCAGGGGACAGCCGGACACCCCCCACCCGCTCCACCTCCCACCCAGGAGGTGAGCGCCATGTAAACAATGTCATCTCTGACCGCACCCCACAAAACACAAGGGATACAGTAAACAGTAAACAAGGCAACTGCAGAGAATGGAGGGGGGCCGGAGTCAATACCGAGGACAATTTCTGGCTTGAAAGTCATGTACACTTATACAGTAAACCCTCGATAATCCAGAATTTCATATAACTCGGCATGGAAATGGTCTCAGAATGTATTAGTATAACTCGGGAAATGCCAAAATATATAAAATTATCTGGGGAAAATCCTGGCATATCTAGCCACCTGTATCACCTACCATGCCTCTGTTTCACCTACTATGATGCTTCATTCTTTGCCTGTAGTGCTGGTAAGTGTTACTTTTTTACATTTAGTAATTACATGTACACATATACGGGTCGATAATTTGGGATAACTTGGAGAGGCCAGAGCCCCATATCTGCCGAGTTATCAAGGGTTTACTGTACTGACACATTCCTCAAAAAGAAAGTAGAGTTTGAAATACTACTGAAGGTACATCAACCTGATATAGTGGCATTGTAGAATTGTTGTACAAAAACAGGAGAATCGAACCGGAGGAATGTGAGTTCAATATACAGTACTGTAGATGGATATGACTCATTTATGAACCTTTCCCAAGAAACTTGCAAAAGGGGTGTGCTTATCTATGCTAGGCAAAACCGTAGAGCCAGCCAGTTGAGGGTGTGGGGAGAGGATGTTTTCAAAGAATCCAAGTGGTGTAAAGTTAAATTGAAGGGGAGAGACTTAATCATTGTGGGATGTATCTACAAATCCCCAAACTGTAGCGTAGTAAACCAAAGGAACTCAAGAGCCTTAATTAACAATGTAACAGCGCTAAACCCTCACTACCCCCCTTGTCATGGGAGACTTTAACTATGGCGACATCGACTGGAGAAATGAATCCATGCCAAACAACCTAAATAATCCAGCCACTCTTTATGTAGAAATTCTGAGAAACAATTTTCTATATCAATATGGTAATGAACTGGCTCACTACAGAGGGGAGCAAACACCCAAACCGCTGGACCTCATCATAACTTACAAGGAGGGTATGGTGGCCAAGCTGGAACATCTAGCCCCCATTGGCACCAATCACCACAAAACGCTGTCCTTCAGATTCAACTGTTACTTGGTTCGCTACAAAATCAGGATAAGGTTCAAATACTACAAAGAAAATTATGACGGGATGAGGGAGAAGATGAGGGGTTATCCACTGGCCTCACTTACTAAGAAATAAGAACGCAGACACTACACTGAATTTCATAGCCAGTAAAGTTAACCATTCGATCGATAAATATCTACCCAAGACCAAAGCCGGTGCCTCCAGGAATATAAGGAGACCGTTACACATGAACCATGTGGAGGTCGACAGAGTTAAGAAGAAAACTCAAGATTTTTAGACCTGGATTAGGACAAATGATGAGCAAGACAGGAGGATGTATGCCAGATCTGAGAACTAAGCAAAGTCAGTGTAAAAGGTCTGAAAAAAAGTTCCATAGGTAGAATGCAAGAGAGGTAGTCAAACCCAAAGGCTTTTTACCACTATGCAAAGTCGAAATTAAAAATGCGAGTATGAGTATTGGACCTGAGGCTTGAAGATGGTACAGTAGTTATGCAGATTCTGACCAAGTTAAGACAGAGGCGTTGAACGAATTCATTTCCTCGGTGTTCACAAGGGAAGATGCGAACAATCTTCCTGCGTTTGAGGAAAGATGGTTTGACACAGCGCTAACCCACATTGTGTTCTCAGAAGAGGTTATAAGAAATAAAGTGTCAAAGCTAAAGATTCACAAGAGTCCCAGCCATGATATGGTACACCCCAGAGTGATAAGAGTACTGTGTAATGACTGTGTAATGAGGTTGTGGAGCCCCTTAAGATCCTATTATACAAATGCCTGGATGAGCCAAAGGTCCCCGATGACTAGAAAATGGCTCATGGGAGTCCTATATTCAAGAAGGGCAATCGTCACTCCACAAATAATTATAGACCAGTGAACCTGACAAGCATTAACATAAAGTACTTGAGAGCATTATAAAAGATGCCATGATGGAACATCTACTACGAAACAACCTTGTAGAGGACTGCCAGCACAGTTTTATTTTCGGATGCTCCTGTTTAATACAATTACACAAGGTACTGGATATTTGTACTAAAATTCTAGAACAAGGCAGAAATATCGACAATACATACCGTGTTTTGCGGCGTAGAAGATGCACTTTTATTACAAAAATATACCTTGAAAATTACCATGCATCTTCCACGACGCAAGTTGATGGGTTGTAGCAGTGGTTTTCTTAGGGTCAACTGAAATCAGCCCCTTACAAAGGCTGTTACCTCATTACTTAGCAATTACAAGTACCCTCTGTGCTATAAAACAATTGATTTAACTAATATTGTTGATATACTGTGAAAAATACGATTATTTACTTACTCAGTTGGTAAAAAATAAAAAATAAACGGCTGCAGCTACACAACCCTTGCTGCTGTGCGGTTTGTTTACTAATGGCAGTGGTGTGTCAGCGCCATCTATTGAGGAATTGCGAAAGGTTGTCTGCGGGTCTCAAGGCGCAGGAATTTTTGTTTCTTTGCACCAAAAATAATAATTCAACTGATTTTTACCGAGTTGCTTTTTTACTTTTACTTTTTTTTTAATAATTTTTTTTCTTTAGACGTTGATATACATGTTTACATTTGCTCACCTTCTAGTGTTGAAAATATATTTCCCGTCGTTGTCATACCGACAAAAACAAGAGAAAGAATGTAAACACTACAGCCCGCTAGACGCGAAGGTGACCAGGTGTAGAAAATGAGTGCTGTATTAAAGATTTCACCTTATACAGATTTTTTTTTTAATTGATGAAAATAACAACTGATAAGCAGTTCTAAGTGATGATATTCAAAGAGGTGTGTGTACTTGTGCCAAAAGGGCTGTATATCAAGCAACTTTTTTTTCCTAGAATTACATTTCCAAAACCAGGGTGTGTCTTCAACGATGCAGCGTCTTCTACGCCACAAAATACGGTACCTAGAATTTGCCAAGGCTTTAGATAGCATACCTCATGAAAGGCTGAGAATTAAATTGGAAGGGTATGGGCTTTGGGGATGTCCTAGCATGGATCAGAGACTTTCTGCATGACTGCAAACAGTGTGTGGTAATTAATGGTACAAAATTGTCATGTGTACCTGTGACAAGCAGGGTACCAAAGGGCAGTGTATTGGGCCTGATGTAGTTTTTTTGTTTCATAAGTGATATACAATACCAGAAGCTATACATTCCTCCATAAAGATGTTTGCAGACGATGCCAAGTTATTTAGGGAAACTAAGAACCAAGCAGACTGTGAAGAGCTGCAAAAGGATCTCTTTGAGCTTCAAGAATGGTTGAAGAAATGGCTGCTAAGATTCAATGTCAAGAAGTGCAAGAGGATGCACCTGGGTCATACCAACAGGACAAAGAAACTGCATTAATACGGAATGTGAAAAGGACCTGGGTGTGTATGTTAACAAGGAACTTAAATTCCTGGGCCATTGTGAGAAGAAAGTGAACCAGGCAACGAAACTAGTTGGTCTTATAAGAAGGTCGTTTAGATATCTGGATGGTCTGTCCCTCGTCACGATTTTCAAGAGTGAGGTGCTTCCCTGTCTGGAGTACTGTCACCCCATCTGGTCCCCGAGGTATGCTAAAGACTGTCAATTGATTGAAAATGTCCAAAGAATGGCCACCAAACTGATGCCTGCTCTACGGAACCTCAGCTACCCTGAGAGATTAGAACGCCTGCAACTGCCTCACTTACACTACAGACGGGCAAGGGGCGACCTAATCAAAGTGTATAAACATCTCAGAGGGCACTACTCTGCCGAATGTATGTACTGTACCTGCACAAGGGGTCACAGCTCATGTTTGAGAGGCCACAAGTCCAGAAAACAGTGAAGGCAAACTTTATCGGAGTGAGAATTGTAAACTCTTGAAAAAATCTACCAGAGTGTTGTGATGGTACCGAGTGTAAGCTCATTCTAGGCCAGAAGTGACCAACACTGAAGCAGGTTCTGATATATTCAGGAGCCAGTTTATACCCAGTACTTGCCAACAGTGTGTGACAGAGAAGTGACCGACCATTCAAGCAGCTAATGAGCTGATCAGTGGCGAAGAGGATAAAAGTAAAGTAAAAGTAAATACGATTCTCCAAACACTTACCTTAGATTACCGAATCCTTCCACATGACCTTTGAGAGTGAGTGAGGCACGGATAGCCATGACAAACACAAGTAGGATGATGATGACAATGGCACAGATGGGGCCAACCAATGCCCATACCACAGACTCATAGATAGACAACCAGCAGCTGTAGTACAAGAGATGGGAATATGTGAGGAAACAAAATGTGGTACAATAACAATGTTATTCCTAAGGTCTAGAATGAGCTAGAATGCATCGCTCAAAAAGCTTGAAACAACATAGTTAAAAATATAACAATACCTGTACCTGTACTATAATTCTCTATAATGGACAACACAGTATTTGTTCCTGTCCCCTCACTATTATGTTAATGATTGTTTCTGATGGCTTTCACCTGATATGCCAGTTGGGTCTGAAAGTAACTCTTGCAATTTCCCAGTGATTCACTACAGAAGTTTGCATGTCAAAAATTTCCTTTAGTGCAATAAAGCACCCTCATCAAAATTCAGTGAAATGATTTCTCAGGTGATGTGAATGTGTTAACAATATCATAGATTAAGCAACAAAAAATTAGTAGCTAAAGTATCTCTTCAACAGTATTCAATGTACATTAGATGTCTTAGAACACTATGCTGAACAATAAAAAATAAGTTACTGTCTTTAGAAAAGAAGACTACTGTACAGTGATCCCTCGGTTAACGAGCGCCTCGGTTAACGAGATTTCGGTTAACGATTTACCTTCCATAAGATTCTTAACTTCGGTTAACGAGCTTTTTACGAGCCGACTTCAACATGTTTTCGCTTACATTTGGCGGTCCACCAGCTGTAGCATTAGTCCGCCAATACAGAAATCGGTTTTAGGGCTTAAATTCCTTTCTATTTTAGTAAATATCAAGAAGTTTATACTATTCAATAATTTTAAAAGTTTAATATTAACTTTTTTAGTCATTTTAACAATTATTGAACATAATTGAAGGTAAAGAAACTAGTTTCTGGCGTGCCATCCAGCCTGTTAACACACCAGACAGGCGTTAGTCTCTCTCTGTTTTCAGTGGAGGTAACATCTTGCTTGAGACTCTCTTCAACTAGACGCTTTTTTTCTGTGTTTCCAAGCAAATTATTGGTCATTTTGAAATTTATTTTACATATAAACAATATATAATGCAGTGCAGTGTTGATTTAAAGATAATAATCTTGAATTACACCAAGAGAACTAAAATTGTATGGGTGAAATGGTGCCATGGGGTGACTTCTCTTCCACCCCAATGCCTTCTCTTCTCCCTTCTCTTCCACCCCCATTCTAATTCCCATCATCATCATCATCATCCAGGGGCCTTCTACATACACACCTCAAAGTAAGTGTACTTTTCTACCTTTTTTGTTGAATTTAGGCAATTTTCGGTGAGCTGGAACCAATTACCCAAAAACCCATTGAAACAATGGTTTCGGTTCACGAGTTTTTCGGTTAACGAGCAACCTGCTGGAACGGATTGTGCTCGTTAACCGAGGGACCACTGTACTGTACTCTATTACAGTACTTATATCGCCAAAGAAATTAACATACAGAAAGGCAATACAGTACTAAACAAGTATCACCTTCCCTTGCAAGACTTACAAGAAATAGTTCCCATACTGGTCTGCCCTGACTCCAACAGACAGTCCAACAATGATGGCAGGAAGACCATAACCACAGGAGTAGTAAAAACGCATCTGGCCGTGGTTCACATCCCTCATCTCGGTCAACATCCGGTAAAGGTGGACGCCTTCTATCAGCAGCCAGGTGAACACACACAGCCAGAAGTAGTGTAAGCCAATGGCCACCAACTTGCAGGGAAACTAAAAGCAGAACAGATACCTTATTGAAGAATGTATTAAAATATATTTCACAGTTTTACAGTATCTACTGTACTATTGCACTGTGGCTATGTAATACAGAAGTGGTCTTAAGAAGCACTGGGTCAGATAAATAGCTTCCACCTTCAGCATTGTAAATACAGTGTTTATACAGTACTGTACAAAATTGCAAACCAGTGTTGGCAAAAACTTCTTAATATTACGTATTTATGTAATTATTAGATGCTTTAATTGCCTGTATGTTGGCCTGGCGAGTTAATGCAAGGCATATACATACATAGGTATAAAGCTAGACGTTGCATTCTGGACTTTATCACAAAAATTGGTTTTTAGAAAAAAAATGGCTTTTTTATAAAAAATAAGAAAAATTTTAAAACCCCAAAATGTTCTTTTTATTGGCATTATGTTGGATTTAATAAGTTTGAAGTATTTGTAACCCTTTATATCACGTTTTAATATTCTATTAATCATTAACATTACATTCAGTATGATTTAGCAATCATTTATACTCTTTTCTATTTAAAAACATCACTGTGAAAAATACGATTTGGAAAAGCACAAGATTTAATCAGTCACCCATTCATCCTACATGCTTAAAGGCAAAAACTAAGTATAAGTTCATCTTAATGCATGAAAAACTATCCTACTTCTACAGTCGAAAGTTTTAAAGAACTCATTTAAGTACAGTTCGAGGAGAGAGAGATGGGCAGTGGCACCTTGGCTCCCTTGGACTTGTATAATACATGATTTGAACACATTAGAATCAGAGGCTCAGAGTCTAACCATAAAGAAGCAGTCACCAGTTATACTGGATAGTGGCAACTTGGCTCCTTTATAATCAGGATTTGAGATGTGGGCAGCCCTGTAAGAAAGCTTATTATCACCACTTTCACCAGTGTATAATAGTTCACATCCATGTTCAGTAGCTATATATTGAACAACCATGGGGACATAACACATCCCTGTCTAGCACCCACATTTATTTCAAATGTTTCACCTTTTTCCCATTTACTCTTATTGTTACCCTGCTGTTCTCATAGAATGCTTTTACTGCATTTAATAGCCTTCCTCCCATCCCATACACTTGATATGCCTCCCACAATGCTCTTCTGTTCACCCTATCATATGCTTTACCAAATCAATTATAAATCAATAAAACCATCTGTAAGTAGTAAAAACCAACAAAAAACTTATTATAACCAAGAAAAGGCAGAGATTAAATTTGTTTTTTGGTTTAAACCATTGGTTTAATCTGGCAGTAGGGTGGTGTCCTCCTATGAAATATGTATATAAATATATGTTACATGTACATAAACCTCAGTACTGTACAATTTCACCATGCAGAATATTTTTCACTGGCTGAACAATAAATTACCCTAAGTGCCTTAACAGTGGTTAAGCTCCTCCAGCCTATTTTTATTAATTAATTATAAATTGAAAATTAATATCAAAATTCACTGGGACGGACAGCCAAATTAAGAACTTTCAATCATTTTGGACAAAACAGACTTAAATTCATTGCCCGTATTTCGTCCCTACAGTCTTTCTGACTTATAGTAATACAGGTGGCCTATCAAAAATCCGGCAACCTCGGGACCTGAGGAGTGCCGGATTTTCGAAAATGCCGGAAAACTGATGGTTATATTTGCTGTATAAGTTTAACAGAAAATGACTACCTGTACAGTCCTTTAAACAAAGAAAATTAAACACTTAAGTTAGGATAATATAATTGACATTGCTGGATTCCTTGTAAGACCAGGAATATTTTGAATATAAATGTCATATATTTTGCACAAAAGATAACATATTTATTCAGAGTAAACATTATATCTAAAATTTGTATGTCTAATGCAAAATCTATGATGTTTATATTCAAAATGATCATCAAATTGTAAGAATTCCAGCAATGTAAATTATATTCTGGCCGGGAAATTTGTATGAATTTTATGAGCTAAAACAAATATCTTCAGTTAAAAAAAAAAAATATTCTTCACACCGTGCCAGATGGTCAGACGGTCCCTCCCTCCCTACCAGATAAATGTGTGGGAAAACCAGACTATTTACCTTTTTAGTAATAAATAATACCTCAGACTGAAGTTAGGATAATATAATTGACATTGCTGGATTCCTTGTAAGACCAGGAATATTTTGAATATAAATGTCATATATTTTGCACAAAAGATAACATATTTACTCAGAGTAAACATTATATCTAAAATTTGTATGTCTAATGCAAAATCTATGATGTTTATATTCAAAATGATCATCAAATTGTAAGAATTCCAGCAATGTAAATTATATTCTGGCCGGGTAATTTGTATGAATTTTATGAGCTAAAACATATATCTTCATTAAATAAACAAAGAAATATTTGAAAATGCGCTCCAAAATCCACGCCGGAAAACTGAAGGTTCCGGTTTATCGGTTGCCGGATTTTTGATAGGCCACCTGTACTGTATATACCATAGCCTGGTCGAATGTAAACAAACACAGTTTGTTCGTCCTTATATGGGTTATTCTATGTTCAATGGTAAAGAAAGAAGGGCACAATAATCCAAATAAGAGATAATTCTTGTTCCCTCTGAGGCACAATACTCTACTACAGAAGCTACCATCATGAAACCTTCCTGACAGCTTCCCTCCAGGAACTGAAATATTATCTAAATAGCTTCAAATTATAACTGGTATAAAACTATCCCTAATAAAAGGGTAAGCTGAATAACAAGCTAAGGGGAGAGCCACAACCAGGGCCTTCTGTAAGTATGTGAAGCCAACACAAAATTATTAACGGCAGATACGAGGTTTGGGGACTATTGTGCTGTGACGTTTCTCTAGTTCCTCCACAACAGTACTGAAGAAGCAACACACTTAACTGCTTCCAAGTACAGTATCATAATCTACCACTTACAAAGGTAAATCTCATCAAATGATTGAAATATATTATCTTTGCCACTGTGTTGAATGAAAGTGGGAAAATAATTTCTCACCAGAGCAGATAACAATCATTATCAAAAGTGAATTCCTTGTATAGCACAAAATGTATTAAAGCAGGCAACACAGAGACAGATGTACAAACACCTTGTAGAGTTAAAATATCAACATATCCACAGCTGCTTAAAGTTAGTGAATATATTTGTGCAGTATTATAGTAAAAAATATTTGAAATCTTTTTCAAAAGTACAACACTACATCAATGTAGTACACTGGAATACTAGTAACTAACCTCCTGCTGCACAAGAATGTGTCTTATTTTCAGAGCAGCTAAGAAGAGGAGCTGGACAAGGAAGAGGCAAACTGTGAGGTTTTTGTGGATGGTGTTGGAGTTGGTCTGGGCCCCACGCAGTAAGCAGAAGGCAATGAAGGCCATCAGCAGCAGTACCAGCGACAGAACCAGCCCTGTGTATGTCGTCACGTCCTCGGCAATGGATGGTTCAGCCATGAACTGTTCATGGGCAAGAAAAAATTATTAAGGAATTTCATAAAAAAACTTAATTGATTAACAGCTCAACCCTTGAAGTAATATCTCAGTCTTCCAATTTTAAAATTCTGAACCCAGATCCTTAACCAGCATGTGATCGAGTACCTGTGTGTGAAATTTGAACAAAATATATGGGTTGACCTTATACAGTTGGGTCTTCATTTACGCGGTCAATTGAACCCGCGGAGTACCGCGTAAAACGAGAAACGCGTAAATGAAATAACAGATCATATGGGCTTAATTGAAATAGAGACTGGGCCAACCCCTAAACTCCACTTTTTCCGACACAATACATACCTTGTAGTCAAATTAACACAATTAATAATTAAGAGAAATATCAATAATATTCGGTCTTTTAACACTAACATTTGTAGAAAAGATGGCTGGGCACACGGGGATGGGGGGTTGGTTCCGAGGCAGAGGGCAGATTATTGGCCCTCACCTGTATCACTTGTATCAATTGTATCACTATCCACCACAGAGGCTTGCAGGGCCTCTTTGTCAAACCCCTCAAAGTCCATATCCTCACTATCACTATCACTGACTTGGGCCGGCTGTGGTGGGTGGCGGGTGAAGAACTCGGTAATGTTTTGATGACTGGGCGACCTTGTGCGCATCCTGCCTGCGCCGCTTCCCGCGTAAATCAAGCATTTGAATTCGGGCAAGGCATCGCGTAAATGACAAAACACGTAAACCAAAATCGCGTATATCCAGATTCAACTGTGTGTGTGTATATATATATATATATATATATATATATATATATATATATATATATATATATATATATATATATATATATATATATATATATATATATATATATATATATATATATATGTATATATATATATATATATATATATATATATATATATATGTATATATATATATACAGTATATATTAGAGTGACATGTCCCTCTAATGGACTATATACCTTAGGTGGATGTGTCACTGTTACAGTATATATATAACATGCACATCACTGACCTCTGCTTCAGCATCATTAAGGATGACAGCAAAACTGGAGAGGTGGTTACAGGTACAGTTAATGAAGGTGTCGTTGATGTAGTCACCATGGCCTTGCTCTGGGTCGCTGGTGTCACACCCTTCTCGCGTCCACACACCCTCGCTACTGTAATACCAAACACACACAGTTGACGTCACTCATTTATTTGGTGAATATCTCATGTTTACCTCAAGCTTTGGTAAGACATTAATTTATGATGTTAGATATATGCTAATCTCTCTGGATTGAATTGAATTGAATTGAAACAGTTTATTTAGCCAGAAAAACACAGATACAGAGTGGATAATAATAACAATATTAACATGGCTTAGCCAGTTGAGAACCTGAGCTCTCTTTTAGGCACCTGATATATGTATTATATACATTTATCTCAAGAAAGTATTATGTAACATTTAGTATCATCTGGAATAGTACAATAGCATGGTGGTAATAGAACATCTCATAATGTTACCACAGTTATCACTTCAATATTTATTAATTTTATTTATTTATTATTATTATTTTTTTTTTTTTATACATAAATTACAGTGGAATTGAAAAACATAAGTAGAATGGGGGAGCAGTACAACATGGGTTGCACAATAATAAGGTTGAAAAAGAAGACAGAGCTGTCAGGATTATGACTAGTTGGCAAATATGTTTATTGCAATGGTAATTACTTATCTATTTACATGATAATTTTCGATAAAACTGTTTTGATGGTACAATAAAAATAGGTACATTACTGGAAATATAGTAGGTGTTACAAGAGATATTAATACCTAGACAATAGATATTTTTTAAGAGATGATTTAAAGGAAGGGAGCCTAGTCTTTGCTCGGGATGGGTGGGGGTAAGTTGTTCCACACCTTCACACCGTGATATTTTATGGAGGTCTGGGACTGAGAGGAGCGCAAGGGGGGCAGTCTTAGTAGCTCTGAGTGCCTTAAGTTGTATCTCTGATTATTCCAGAACTGGAAATAATTATTGTCAAGCAAGTGATTGATAGATTTGTAAACAAAGAGGGCACAGTAGTAGGTGTTAATATCTTCGAATTTTAAAATTTTCAATAGAGCAAATTTCTCGTTTGTGTGATCTGTTTTTCAAGTAGGTCATTGTCCGTACAACTCTCTTTTGTGCAGTAACCAGAGATTGTGTTTTTGAAGAGCCAGAGGCCCCCCATAGTGTGTGACAGTGTATCAGGTGTTGGTAGACAAGATCATGATAGATTTCTTTCATTGCTGTGAGAGTGAGTGACTGTCGAGTGTGATACATGATACCGCACTGTTTATTGACTTTACTGTGAATGGCTTGTATGTGGTTTCTCCAGTTAAGTTTCTCATCAACAATAACTCCGAGGAATTTAGTATTTTGTTCGCGTTTGAGGACTGTATTACCAAGGTACAGGGGGTCCAAGTCTAGGGGTAAGTTTTTCCTTCTGTGAAAGATCGTGTAGTGGGTTTTCTCAAGGTTTAAGGTCAGTTTATTACGTATTACTCAGCTCTTGACTTTAGTTAATTCAGTGTTCATAGTTCTCATCAAGGAATGAAGGTCTGAGTTGCTGGCATAGAGATTACTATCGTCTGCAAATAAGTTGTATTTTATGAGTGAGGTGGCGTGGACTATGTCGTTTAGAGTGTTGTTTAATGCCCTAAGCTTGAGTGGCCCACTACCCACAAATACCGAAGCAATAAATTTTGATCTTTAGGGGAACAAATAAAATATGAAAGCCTATAAACAGCTTATAGTATCTGTCTGTGGTTGTTCAGTGGTATGAATAAAATGATATTCAGTGAAGTGGTAAAACTAATATTTTTCCTCACCATAAGAGTATTGTATAGAGAAATAGAAAAAGTTAGTAGTGAGGCAGACCTCACTTCAGTAAAGCACCAGCCCATTACACATTTAGTTTTAAAGGAAGGAAACCAGTAAAAACTTTGAAGATATGAGAAGAAAAATTATCAGTCCTGTCCCTTTATAACTGCAGGTCACAGCCATAGAAATTATAAGAACAAGCCCACTCACTACACATCTAATATTAAGGGTGGGAACTGATAAAACCTTAACAATATTGGAACGGAGGAACAGCTCTTCATATGATTTTTCAGTCATGACCCTCCTGATCTCCCATGACATCACTGAAGTAAGTATCCTCCCTCACCTTGACTGTTTTATAAGAGAGACAATGTTGATCTAAACATTAATAATATACAGTATATATTTTTCGAAAAAAATCTTCCTATACTGTAATCATTATTTACCTGTCAGGTTTAGTGACCCAGGTGACACACTGGGGGTTGGCTCGTTTTCCAACGTGGCCCAAACGGAACCTGAGCCTCACATCAACAGGAAGTGTGTTTTCCACCAGGCCACCGTCGGAGGTGTGCACAGCCAAAGTAAACACTGGAGAGCGCACAGCTAAGCCCACACCCCATCGCTGTTCCACGTCTGCATCATAAGTCTCGGGAAGCAGTATGCCCAGGGATCGGAACACCACATAGCTCACCACCGCCCGAGTAGTGCCTAGGGTGCCTGAGGTCGAGGTCTCATCTGTTATAGGGAACATGTCTAAAAAATTAGTCTATGCAAATCACAAATTTATGAGTTATCATCCCTAACACCGTAAAAATTTATTAACCAAATAAGACTTAACTAAGGCTTCCTTACGTAAGTATTGTATTTGAGTACGGAACTGATAAATAACTTATGAAACCCACAAGAGGACTTCAAACTCACCCTGCTTAACATCTGGGATGCCAACCAGTGACAAAGGAATGCGAATGTTGGTGCTGTGGACCCATGTCTGTTGGTTCTTGAGATAGTTGTTATACTTAGGAATAATGACAGAGACCCGGCCCTGTCCTGGGTAACGTTTGTCCACCAAGGAAGACGTCTCGGGGATGATCACGTGGTCCACTCTGTCATCGTGACCCACCACAAAGCCAGACTGACTGTACCCATACAGCTCGTCTGCTGACACCGTGTCCATGCCAAACACTTAACAAGAAAAAATCATATATGAAGACTACTGTGTTATCAAAGGATGATTCGTTTTTACTAAAGACGGGTACATTATACCATATGATATAAAGACTGAATACAAATGCACATCAATAACTATCTTCACAAGATACTTAATCAATGATAGTGTTACTACTGTTAACAACTAATGTATAAGAATGAAATTGTAATACACATCCAAGCTTCACTAGCCTCATGTGATACTAACCAACATGTTTTGTAGGAATTTCAAAGGGAGTTGTATAAGTGTCGCCTTGGCTAGTAGCAAGAGTAGCCACATACTCGTCCATTTTGGTCAGCAAGGAGTCTGCACCAAATCCTTCAACACCATTGATCCTCTGCCAGTGTGGGGCATAGATGGGCTGCAGGACCACAGATGCTGACTCTACCAGGTTCTGATGTGGCACAGAGCAAGCAAAGTTTGTTATTAGTGACCAGTACAGAAGAAAATATATATATATATATATATATATATATTGTATACACAGTCTCATCATTTGTTATCATTCATTTTCTCTCACCAGTGTAACAAATGTGTTCTGTTAAGGTTCTTCTCTCTTACAACATGACCCTAAGACCTCCCTCTGTTTTACTTCTACCGTGTCATACAACCAAGCATTAGCAGTATGCCCACCTTCATAAACCATACAACCTACATATTGCTCTCAAGGTTATCTTTTCCATTGTTTCTACCTTACTTCTTTTTCTTACTTTTAGAGCCCATGTTTTATATTTCTACATAAACATCAGCTCCTACAATGTCCTACAGTTTATAAACATTGGAGGATTATGTTAGTAAAAAAGGTGTAATATTGTACACTTGAGACCAAGATTTAGATTCTTCAAAATATTGAAGACTGTCATAACCGTGATCCTTACAACCACTAGTGCCTGTGCTATTTTCCATGACATGACTTACCCTAACAATATTTTTCCAGGATTTTCCATGAATTGTGGGATGTCTGCAATAATGTTCTGCTGCTATTTACTTTTCATTTTCCTCCTTTCTCCTAACTCGTGCACCGGCATATTGCCCTCTGCAACTGTTTTACTTCTACTGTAATTTGAACTTCATATCTCTATCAGTCAGACCTGTTCCCTCTCCATTGTTCTTACAAATATCAAACAACCATATTGACATAACATATCTTTGAGGTACTGTTAACTCTTCTTTCCTGGGAGCCACTTTTACCCTTACTGACGAGAAAGAATCCTACTAAAAGCAGATATATACAAATAAAAGGATCAGTTAAAGCAAATACTTCAATGATCTACTTCATTATTACTTGGATGTAATGTCGATCTTGACGATGTGTCAGGTTGAGTCCCTCCTGGCGAGTCTCATACTCCAGGAGGAGGATGAGAAGTCGTGAGGCAATGAGGACATCTGAACCCCACATGGCAGGTGTAACAGAGCAGGCATAGTTGAGGTCCTCCGAGATTTTCACTGCCAGGTATTTTGTTATTTCCAGTTCTTGATTTTCTAAACTCTCAAGCTGAAGAGACACAATGATTAAACCATAGTGTATACTGTACTGTAATAACCTAAGACTGTATACATCTACCGGTATATACATTATCAACAAAAGACATATTCAGAGCTTACAAAATCATCCAATAACTGGCACTTTTCTCTGCCTAAATTTGTCAGTGGTGCAGGCTGAAGAGCCCTCAGATTCACAGCTGTTCTCAAGAAATACCCCAGAATCACTACCAAATACTTCTTCAAAATTGTTTTTTAACCTTTGACTAGTTCTAAAGGTTTAAAGAAGTACAAGGCTTTAAGTCACAACAATAATTCTCATCTTTCACCTGTAATGATCATCAGCACTAAATGTTTCATGCCACATGAAAATGAAATAAAAAAAAAGATTAATGATAAATATTAATTTCTCACAAAGAAATTCGAACTTACCAAGTCTCGCAACTCTACAAAAGTGTCCGACACACAATTGAACATGTCTGGAGGCCCCCAGCCAATTTCTCTCTGGCAAATGCGAGAGGCTAGACCCTGGGCACCGTACGGACACTGTTGCACTGTTGTACCGTCAAAAGGTGTCTCATTCCACCAAATCAAGTCCGCAAAATTTTTGGGGCATCCATCATACACAACTGTAAAGTAATATGCTGGCTGAGCAAGGCTATAGAAAAATTATGAACCTATAAAAACACCCTAATGTTATAGTATAGATACTGTACAGTGTGACTACACCAATCAAAAGCTTAGTTTGCTTACTTTCACAGCCCATGATGGTCACTTGAGCAAAAGCATTTGCACACTGATCACATCGCCGACCAATGACACCAGGACGACAACGGCACTGACCACTGATGGGGTCACAGGAGCCCCCGTAAGATCCCACCAGATAACAGTCACAGTCATAGCAAGAGTCAGAAGGTTCAGGTTGGTAGTGGTTTTCCTGTAGGATGCATAATGTGTTACAAGTTAAACCCCATACAAGGAACGTATTTCATAAGCTTCCTCTGCAGTGGTAGAGGAAGGGAAATGATAAGTAAATAAATATTTTACCTTTATGTAAAGAAGAAAATTAAGAAATTGCCACCCCCTGTTTTCAAAGGGTACATTACTGCATAGGTCTTATCTGTTTCATCACAGGTTTTCTCCCACAATCAATGATTACATTACTGTGAAAATTTTATTTTAAAGTTTCATTTCATTTTTCACTGACAATCAAACAGATTTCTGAGTTATTAGAGATAATATCAATACAAAATAAACAAAGATACACTACAATTAATGAATGTATTTTGGAAGGGACAGCAGCAGTTTATTCAATATTTTTACAAGTTATATGCAGTACAGTGGGGTCTCATTTTGCATGGGTATATCGTACTGGTACACGTCTATGCATCAGAAATCCACACAAGCGATGCCCTTTAACATGTGTTAAAATCGCTATACAATATTGTACTGGACTAGTCAGACTTTACTCTAGAACGACTTTGGGTAACCAACTTCACCATCTAATAATGACACATTATTAATTAAATATTTTAAGAAAGCTCAGGAAGTTAATTATACAATACAGTGAGTTCTGCTATAACGCGTGTTTTGATAACGCGAATTTGCTCTAACGCGATTTATGAATTCGGAACAATATTTGTATAACGCGAACGCCTGTTTGCTATAACGCGATTTTTGCTTACTATTTCTCCAATTTTGTGGTATTAACTGTGATTATGGTAAAGAAGAATATCTCCAAAAAGCGTTCTGATGATAGAATTCCCGGTGATTATCGTAAAAGAAAGGATATAACACTTGAAGAGAAGCTCGATGTTATCAACCTCAAAATCACCCTTCTCCCCCATCAAGTTACATTCATATTTTTTCAAGGTAAAGTGTTACATTTACTGTATGATTTCATTATTAGATATGAATGTAACATTTATTTAGTCTGTGCTATCCTTTGTGTTAGGCTAACTACTAAATTTTTTCGATTTCGAGTAATCTGCACCTAACCCTATTTTCTCCATAAGCCCTGTTATTTCTATTACGCGATTTTCTATAACACGATATTTTACAAGAACACAATTATCGCGTTATAGCAGAACTACCTGTACTCCACCGTCTCCACTGAATAGTGGAGGTGCGGGGAGCTCTGGGAGACGATGGGGGTCCAAAGCAAGGGGTAAAGGTTGGTAGGATTCAAAGCCTTCAAAATCAACTGCAGACACTTGTAAGGCAACTTCAGCTTCCTCATCAATCTCCAGAGTGGCAGGGAAACCATCACTGGCTTCTCTTTGAATTGTTGAGGAGTAAAATAAGCGGTGATGAGAGCTTGGTGGTAGCGTTTAATAAACCCCTGGTAATGTTGCCCGTAAGGTTCCACCAAACTGTCTAGCTGTGCACTGAGTTCATCAGTAGGTTGCAGGTTGGGTTCAGCACTCATTAAAGCATCCTTGAGTTCTTCAACGTTGCTGAGAACTGGCATCACCTGCTGCTAAGCCAAGCCTCCCTTAGTCTACTATGGCATCGCCACACCACCAACACTGATTTAGCGTGTCGTTTTATTTTTAATTAAAATTATATATCGCATTCTGATTCTATTATTTAATACTGTACAGTGGTCCCTTGGTTAACGAGCGCCTCAGTTAACGAGTTACCTTCCATAAGATTTTTAACTTCGGTTAACGAGCAATCCCTCGATTAACGAGTTTCTTACGAGCCGACCTCAACATGTTTTAGCTTGCATTTAGCGGTCCACCAGCTGTAGTATTAGTCCGCCAATACAGTAATCGGTTGTAGGACTTAAATTCCTTACTATTTTAGTAAATATCAAGAAGTTTATACTGTTCAATAATTTTAAAAGTTTAATATTAAATTTTTTAGTCATTTTAACAATTATTGAACATAATTGAAGTAAGGTCACTAGTTTGTGGCACGCCATCCAGCCTGCCAACACAGCATACAGGCGTCAGTCTTTGTGTCTTTTCAGTGGAGGTAACATCTTGCTTGAGACTCTCTTCAACTAAACGATTTTTTTTCTGTGTTTACAAGCAAATTATTGGTCATTTCGAAATTTATTTTACATATTGACAACATATAATGCAGTGCAGTGTTGATTTAAAGAAAATAATCTTGAATTACACCAAGAGAACTAAAATTTTATGGGTGAAATGGCGCCATGGGGCAACTTCTCTTCCACCCCAATGCCTTCTCTTCTCCCTTCTCCTCCACCCCCATTCTAATTCCCATCATCATCATCATCATCATCCAGGAGCCTTCTACATACACACCTCAAAGTAAGTGTACTTTTCTACCTTTTTTGTTGAATTTAGGCAATTTTCGGTGAGGTGGAACCAATTACCCAAAAAGCCATTGAAACAATGGTTTCGGTTAACGAGTTTTTCGGTTAACGAACAACCTTCTAGAACGGATTGTGCTCGTTAACCGAGGGACCACTGTATGTTATATTATTTATGATGAAGCATACACCATAACAGGTTCATTATATGATCATACAAGAATATAATAATGAATAAATAAAAACAAACTGACCAATGAGGCAACGGCCAGTCCTCCCCCCACCCCCAGCATGTTTAGACACAGTGTCACCTCTTGTTGATACCAGAGTCCAAAAAATCAGTTCTAATTAAGTTAGAAACACCATTATTTTACCTAAATAATCCTGAATGGTTTATCCAAAAGTTTGGTTAAATAAATATATTTAAAAAAATCTATATGATATGGGAGTGCAAGGCACATACACACAGTTACAAGACAGAAAGGACAAGCAACCCTTGTGGGGAGGTGAGGGAAAAGTGACCATATCAGCCCTCCTTCCCCCCACCACACCCTGCCTCTACCACTCTCTACTCCATCTTCCACCTCCTATCTATACCCTCCAAAAATTGTTTAATTAAATAAGAACAAGAATAGAAGAGAAAATAAGAGAAATCATGTAAAGAAATAAAATGAAAAATAGAGAGAAAGAAAGAGTAATTAAAGAATAAATAGAAAATAAAGAAAAGAAAGAAATATTCCTGTGGGAAAAAGGTAAATATTAAATCATTCTCTCATGTTACCAACCTGACCTGATGTAATATCAGGTCACCCATTGGATATAAACTTCTCTCAATTGCAGTGAAGGTGTGGTGATGGATTAGTGGGTCTCATGAACCTGAAGAAGTCTTGAATGAAGATGAAAGTAATAAGCAGTACACTGTACCCTTATTAATTTGGATTTCAGCTTAATTTGTATGTTTTTGTTTTTGTTTTTTTAAAGAATATAAAAATTAAATTCGAAATGAATCTGACAACGTGCGGTTCTGAAAAGTCGATTATTATTAAAGGCATATATTATGAAATGGATTAAGATGAATGAATTATAGAATAAAATATGGATTATATTAAGATACAAAACTATATTTGGGTGTATAGGTGAAGGGTGGTGGAGGACAACTCACCACTCACTACACCCCTGCGATCCATTTATTATGACAGTATGTCGATTTCACCATTATTCCCATATTATTTAAGTTCATTTGATGCCGGGTTAATAGAAACATTATCGAGAAATAATTAATTTTCCCCCAAAATCCAACGTACAATCCCAGATGAGCTAACCTGATACCAAGTACAGTATCATTTCAGAAATTATCAAGGCCCAACTACTTACTTCACAGTGACATTCTCCACTTGTCTTGTTACAGTCATCATCATAGCCCTTCTCAATGGCACAGTGACAAGGGCCACATACTGGGTAACCCCACCAGTTAGTTGGACAAGGTTGGTCCAGCACCACCTCACAGTACTCCCCTGGAAGAGTCAACATATCTGATCATGAAACAAATAATCCAAACAAATCTTCTTAAATTAATTCTTAAAACAAGTAACAGAAGTAATGCAGCAGATAATAATATGTATGATCCATTAAAATTATAAACAACTAACCAGAGAACTCATAGGTGGGACACTCGCACCGGTAACCTTTGGGTGAGTGTATATCATGGACGCAGGAAGCGTTGTTGCTGCAGGGGTTCAAATGACACATGTCACTACACTTTTCACCATAGTAACCGTTGTTACACTGGCAATCATAGCCTTGCCAGGTGTTAATGCACTGGGAGCTGGGTGGGCAGGGACGGGAAGTGCAAGGGTCTGATGCAACACATCCATCCCGTACACCTTCTTCATGGGTGGGGCGCAGCCAGGCATTCTTGCTGTTACCTACGCGGACATCCTGGAAAGTTAGGCCAATATACTGAATATACACAGTACTGTACTTATAATGGATTGGAATTTTGGATTTCTCACATCTGCAGATGTGAATGTGACATCTGCAAATGCAGATGTGACATCCATTTCTAATATATATATATATATATATATATATATATATATATATATATATATATATATATATATATATATATATATATATATATATATATATATATATATATATATATATATATATATATATATATATATATATATATATATATATATATATATATATATATATATATATATCTCTCAGTAAAGGTTCAAATACTTATTCTGTACATATTTCCACTGCTCAAAGCCTCCCCCCTAGAGACTGTAGGCTGGCCACGACTCATCAATGACTGCTTTAACAGGGATGTGTTTTGTTATGGTGCTCCTGATGCATCTAATTTTCTCCATTCTGCCTCCAATAAAGACAACAATGTTTCTCTATATCCATCTTCTCTACTTGTTTTCATCACTTTATTTAATTACATTAAATAACTTTCTCCTACTACACACTCTTCCAAGGACATTTATATTTGCAACCTTTCTTCTGAACCATCCCCCACAGAGTACTGTCAGAGTAAACAATAGATCAATTACGTTCTGTTTGCATTCCATATCCTGATCAATTTAAGTGTTTCCTTTTTCCTAACTATTACTTTTGCCTCCCCTACTCCACAAAATTCCTATAGAACTACAGTACAGTACTTGGTTCTGACATGAATATTAAAACCACAGAGATCCAACACCACTAACCTTAATACAGCCCTTGAAACTAGTGACTTTGGCTGGGTCAGAGGGCTGGACACCCCCTACAGACACCTTCCCGACATACAGGTTGGATATATTTTCCTCAACATTAACTGTCTCTTCATGGTCGCCATAGTCCAGGGTGATCCACACCTCTCCAGTCATCCACTTTACTTCCACATTATGCCAGAGTCCATCATCCATCTGAGCAACTGACAGCTTTTTTGTTGCATTTTCATAGCGGTATTGGATGTAGCCATCCACTAACTGAAAACATGAAGAAATATTTCTTGGAGACTGTTCAGTACACCTTAACATAAAAAGAAGACTATTGATTATCTGCATTTCAAATTACAGTTAACATAAATTATCTACATTTTTAGGCAATTCAAAACTATCAACAATTTTGTCCACTAAAGTAATGTATTCTCATACCATCTCCAATGCCTCGTTCTCCTAAGAAGTTCCTCTACGATACAGGCTGTTTCCCTCTACCTTATGCATATACTACTTTGCCTCTGTTTTCTCTTAGTCATCTTATCTTTTGGCATGTATCTCACATATTCATACCATTACAGAGGGTCTCTCTACACCCACTCCACAATTTACACCTGTTCCTCCAAGCCATATCAATCACCCAATATATTGTCTTGTTTCTTTTTACCTTCCATTTGTTAACCCCAAATAAAATCATCCCTTAACCCATGTTTTGTCTGAATTTTAAAGCATTCTGCTTCATTCAGTTCATATCTTTACTGTCATTTATCAAAGTAGGAAGCATTATATTACAGTATTCCTTAGTTCCTTCTTCACATCCCAGCTTACATGGTATTTTTAACCCACCTGATCCCAGAACCTCCATCTTGTGTGCTTGCGGCTCACACTCCAGGCATTCACACTGATGACTGAGCGACTTTTCTCACACTGCTAGAAATATACAAGACATATACTGTACTGGCACTCACCTCTATGATGCTGTTGGCATTCTGGCCCACCATTGTAATCATGAGGAGGCCAAACTGCTCCCGTGTTCTGAAGGAGAGGCTGTTGAACCATGGCATCTGGATGGTCTGTAGCTGTGGGCTGAACACTAGGAAACCCTCACCAGTGAACTGCTTCACCACCTCTACCTCTGTATGGGATAAAAAAAAAAGCCGTTTTTATCTAAAAACCAGTTTTTGTGATATAGCTCTTGAATGCGACGTCAGCAAATGCTACCTAGTTATGTTAATTCCTAGCCAATTTGCCAGGCCAACATACAGGCAATTAAAACATCTAATAATTACTTAATAAGTAATATTAGGAGGACACGTCACTACCTGGCAATTAATTGCTATTTTCAAAGTCCTTCCTTCATCCCGCCACTATGCGCATCGCGAACCTCATCTTTCCATGCTAACCTGGCTCGTAAGCCATGCCCCTTTTCTATAAAAATAGGTGATTGGTTCATGGAAAATGTTTTAGCTGACCATTTAGTCAAACTAAATATGTTCACAATTAGTAAGCAGACCTGTTATTCTCTAAAATAATGTTAAATAACTGGACTTTCAAAATGCAAATGATTTCAAGGCATTAGCACTTCAGAGAGGACGTTAGAAAATTTTAAATATTTTATCATGAAAGATTGAAGTCAAAGATGAAATTCGCTTTTGAAAGAAGTCTTTTCATATTTCTTTGTTTTGTACCAATCATAAAGAAAACAGTAACAAATGATACCAAAAATATAGCACAATATGTAATGAACTACAGTTTGTATGGCTATATATATATCCCAAATCATTTATATAACAGATAAAACTCTATATAAATACACGCTTATATACACGCAGTTCGGGAGGAGGTAAAACGCTCAGGGGACAGCTACATGAACATTTTCTATTAATCAATCAGCTATTTGTAGCTATAGGTGAGGGGCGTGGCTTACAGGCCAGGTTAGCATGGAAATACTATAGTGGTTTGTGTCCATTATAAAGCATGGGTCCAGTGTTAGCACAGAAGGAAACCAGAGTACCTAGAGAAAAACTTCATTATTTGGTAGGGTCACAGTAGGTAACATCCTTCTCACATCTTGTCTGGAACTGAACTCGGAACATAATGGCAAGAGGCAAGTATGCTACCGTCTAATCACTAGGATGTTCAGTATCACAGGAAATATCATAAGAGGAAAATTAAGAACAACACTGAAAAGTGAACTTCTAGAGAACTAATATATGAGTATTCATGAAGCTTGAAATCACAATGAATATATAAATAAAGAAAAAGATGAGGATGAAAGCACTTGATGCTTCCCCAAATGAGCAACTGTAACTGCTCTACTGGCTAAATGCATACCAGTTCATCCTGAATTTAGTATGAGAAATTATTTCATGAAGCAGAGAAGTTAACTCTAATAAAGTACAGTACTGTGACTGGCAGTAAATTTATCATGCATGAACAAGTAATTTAAAAAAAAATTCAAGTCTTACAAAAATAAAATTATACATGCAGGTTAATGGGAAACAAAGGAATAAATAAAATAGCTAATGTGGTTTAGTCGTAATGAAGAGCTCCTGTAGCATATGAAGTGGATGGTTCTCAGCCACTATAAAATGGAGATGAACTTACATCCTCCCTGACAACTGTGTGTACTGATGCATGGCCAGGAGTGTTGGGATGGTGTAGGGGGCCTAGAGTCCTATTGGACAAAGTCTATAAATGCGTCATTTGCCGCACAATTTAAAACATTTATTTAAAAATCTTATAGCATCCTCAATAGTGGACCACTATACTGGCTGCCTGCAGCTATAGGTTTAAGGGCCAAATACAAAGCAAGTAACAGATGATGTACTGATGGGTAAAGTGGCAAATGTAAACTTGCCAGTATCAGAGAGCATAAGTAATTAAAATAAATACAAACAAATGAGCATAATACATTTTAGTATGATACATTATTACAGAACTCAGAAGTAGACAACACTTAAGGAAAATGACCCACCTTGTGAACAGTCCTTGCTCCCCCAGCCATCCAGGCAGGAGCATATGTAGGTGCCAAAGGTCTCCCTGCATCTACCACCATTCTTACAGGGATTTGATCGGCAGAAACTGTTTTTCTCTGGACATCCAGGGTACGTTCCATTGTCTGCTACAAACCTGCAACAAAGAATGGTATTCAGGGATACCGAATACATATTCACAGCTAATAACAGGTCTATCTACAAAGGTCATTAAAAGCTTAATTTCAATGGGGTCCTTAGTGAGAAAAAGTTAAGTATCTTACAGTAAATTACTGTATTTATTGAATTTTGCAAAATCAAGGTAAGAAACAGGAGCTGAAGTGAATGATAAAACTTACGAGTTAAGGTCTATGAACTTGTGGTCAATATAAAGATCTGAGATGCAACCCTCAAAGTGTTGGTGTTTGACTTGGTAAGTGGTGGGGAGCGCAGGTAGCCCCCCCACCTGCAGTGGTCCTGTCACATCCAGAAAGCGGTGACAGGACTGCGTCAGAATGGCGCACCTGTAGGAAGGAATCACCACCTCAGTTAGTATCTGGTACAGTAAATTCTTATTATTTCTCAATATACAGGTACCGGACCCTTGATCCGGCTCCCAAAAATCTGAAAAGACTAGAAAATCGGCTCTTTTTAAGCTGGCAAATTTTGAAATTGTCACGGTTTGTAGTTAGCTAGTCTGCCACTTTGTTTTGCATTTGGTGGCACAACGGTAGTGTGCACACCTCAGTTTGAGCAAGCAACAGCTGTGTACACTTGCCTCTCTACTGATTTGGTTATATGTCCCCTAACTTAACCTGACCTGGATTACCAAACACCATGTCTAAATGGCCAGCAGACAGTCCACTGGCAAGAAAGAAGTTGAAAAAAAAGCATTTGTTGCTGAGTATAAAGCAGAACGTAGAGTTGCTTCGAAGACTAGACAAAGGTGTTTCTGTGAGGCGTTAAGTGAGGACTATGGTGTTGGTACACTCAGTAAAAAAACTACCGTTACAATTCCTGCGAGAAACAAACTGACACTACAAACGAAGTGTTTCAAAAAGATCCCTGAGGCATTCCTCGCATTGGTAGCCCTGCACATGTATGGGCTCGGCCACACGTGCTCGAAACAAGTGATCGGCACTCTGAAACGAAACCCAGGACAAGGGGCCTTCCAAATTTGCGGGGGTTTGGTTCTAAAAATGGCCGCGAATTGCCAAAGCCGCAAATAACATTTGCGGACCAAGGGGGTAAATTTATTTTTACTTGTGTACAAAGAAATGTATATTCCCTTTATGTGTTTGCCCTTAGGACAAATATTTTTTTTTACCTGTAGAATTGTATATGTGTGTGTGTAGACACACACACATACACACAAAATGCATACAAATAAATAATAATTGGAAAATTATCTCACAAATAATCAGAAACAAATTTATTAAAAATGTGACAGTCTACCCTCAAGTCCATGCTCTATTAATAAAGTCCTGTAATATTTACAATACAGGTAAAGGAAATTACTGTCTCTAGAACGAATGGTTCCCTGCCCCAGCCACAAAAATGCCAGCAACTTTAAAACTACCCACAGACATTCTTGGGTACATCCAGGGTGTCATTCGCAAATAACCGAGAACCGCGAAGTAAAAATCCGGGAACTTGGGGGTCCCCTGTACTAGATTTTCTAGAATTATCAACTGTATGGTAAAACGTTGTTGGGCCGGTTCCATTATGACAGATTGTGAAACTGTGGAGCTATTCAGATGTTTCGGAACAGCATGGTATATTTTCCAATACGAATAAAGAATGACATAATGTGGCATTAGCCCAAAATGAAGTTGCAATACAATACAAATTCTGCCAAACATAATGCATTCCTATATGGCAACTCATCCACCTTCATAGTTACTGTAGTCCACAGTGTGTGGAACATTTAATATAACATACAGTTTAACTTATCAAGATATACAGTACTGACATTCTCCAGCCATATTGAAACAAAGTAATTCAATATTGTCAATGAAATAGCAAATTTCGGCCTACCAAATCAAGTACGATATGTCTCACATTCAGGCCTACCAACCCTCACGAGACAACGGGAATGTTCAGTTGGAAAATCATGGGACCCGACCTGTACAGTAGTTTTTTTACCGAGTGTACATCTACAGTATATGATATAAAGAAACAGAAAGAGCGGACACTTAAGTTTTATACTGACACTGATATCCCCCAACTTAATGAACAAGTGAAAAACTTTACACAAAGCAAAAAATGTTGATGTGGACAGAGTGTTGCTAGAGTGGATTAGACAAAGGGGGAGTGAAAAGATTCCACTTTGTCCTTCAATTGCTAAGGCAAAATCTGAAGAATTCCACAGCTGATGACTCTGAATGAATATTCATCTGAGTGGTTTTAATAGATTTAAACAATGGCAAAGCATTCATAAACTGAATGTTTGTGGTGGAATGGCTTCAGCTGACCAAGAAGTTGCAGAGCACTATTTAGATGAATTTGTTAAATTAATTTCAGATGAAGGCCTTACAACTGAGCAAGTGTACAATGATGATGAATCCTCTTTGTACTGGCATTACATACCCAGAAAAACCTATGAAATGCTAGCTGAGTTTTACCCAGTAAGGTTCAAGGATTCCAAGGAGTGACTTACAATTCTTAAATGTTCCAATGCTGCCGGCACCCACAACAAAATGATCTTCTTTTTTATTTATCATACTTTACTTTTTATTTAAGCACAGTAGACGAGCATATATTTTTTTCATGCTTGTGTGTTTTAAAATACCCAAATTCAGTAGCTGCATCAAGTTCCATACATTTATGTGCTGTATAAGTAAAGTAAATTTCTCCACTGCAAAGTTGACACATTTTTTATTTAACTAATATCTACCAAATAACTAAAAAAAATAATGCAATTAAAATTTAAAAAATTAATAGAGGATAATAATGATACATGTGTGACTAATGTTAATTTGCCAAGTCAACCTTTATAAAGCAATCTATTACATTAAATGTGTGTGGTTGTGGACTGAACAACTGACTCGCCCTCCGTGTACTGGGTGACAGCAGTGCACAGAATGTAAGGTTGTGAAACTCACCAACACAAGGTAGAATCTTGGAATTACTGTACAGCACATTTAATTTTGAAAATGTACTAATTTTTTAATTTAGCTCAATAGATTAATTTAGTTATATTATCATACATTTTTCACATTGGTTCAACATGTTTCGTTTAATACTAAATGTACTAGAAGGAATATTATCAAAGAACATGACAGACTTATCGAGTCAAATCATACAATACTGTATCCAATAAGTTTAAGTTACTCATAAGTATAAAATCATCATACAATACGCAATAGTACACTAAAAATGAAAGCGAGTAGCTTAGATCTGCATACGACAATGGACAGTGAGACACTGTGTGCGGTCGTTACCGTTGGCACCACCTCTCGCCCGCCAATTCCTGCGCGCACGGCGACGGGATAAACGATCGGGGTAAAAATTATCATTTACTGTAGTAGTTAGCCCTCCTCCAACGTGGGGGTTAGGTTCCTCAAACACGGCGTGTTAGGGGAATCCGCGTTCGAGGATCTTAATATTAATGAGTAATAAGAATTGAGGAACCCCACCACATAGTCTCATGAGCTGACTCTCAGACATGTGGCTGCCACCGCACCACGCTGGCTATGTGTATGCTGTAACGTCACATCAAGAGGAAGTGCAGCCACATAGATACATATAGCCATAACCCACCGCCTCAACACATTCACTCCCTATATAAACACATCCATGCACTTCATTTTTCTTATTTTATAATTTATATTATATTTTGTTAATTTCTAAGCCACTTTAGAGTACTGTAATGATTTTTCCACAACTTTTATAGTTTCATTACAAGTTAACAACAAATGAGGTGGGCAGGCTACTGCTGCTGCACTCATGCCACTTTGTAAATTATGGAAAATTTTAATTTTCTCTTCTAATGTCAGTACTTTACAGATTTTCTTTACTCCAACATAACTTGGAGATACAGTACTGTACATTTAGGAGCCATACTGTTTATGATGAGGGGTTATTTCCCATAAAAAACAGTAAAAAGTATATCAACATGGACAGCACAACTCTTTGCCCGACTACAGCTAACACGAGACTGATGCTGATGGAGAGAGAGCGGGAGATGCGAGAGGGAGTCCCGCTGTGTTAATGTGTTAATGAACCACGTAAATACATTTGTTGCATTTATTTTTGCCTGTATAAGTGAATTTGTGTTGAAGGAATACACGTTGGAGGAAGGCTTACTGTATACCCCTTTTTGCAGTTTACTCCCACTACTTTTCAGTTTATTTTGAACAGAGTTCAAAACTCGAAACAATTAAGTATCATTTGAATCAGTTTCATAAGAAAGAATATCATTGAAACAATTATCGAGACACGCTTCATAACAGTTAGACAAAGTGTGTCAGTACAGACAATTTATAAAAATACTATGTGAGTCAATGTGACAAATAATAATAACACTGATAATATGTACTGTATTACAATATATACACAGTAACATTATCGAATATGGAAGGCCGTAATGCTAAAATACTGTATTTTGGTGATCTGTCGGCGTAATATCGGCAAGGCTGTCAGAGTAATCTCATGGAATGTCGATTTATAAAGAGATGGTGTTAAAGGTTATGACACAGTAGTATAATGCAAAATATTGTTTATATATTATGAACTTCCGTGGGAGAAAAGTGCAAAAAGGGGTATTTACGGCTGTGTCCAGAAATTCGGAATAATCCAAAACTTCGGCAACACCTCTGGTCCCAAGCATGCCGAATCAAGGGTCCGGTACCTGTATACCAATTCACAATTACAGTACAGTATGCAAAGATTTTGAATGGACACAACTTTATGACTATAAGATAGTAAAAAATATATTAGTATATATATTGTGTGAGATCTACTGACCTCTGGTATTTATTTAGAGTAATCTTGAATACTATAGTTTATACCTGGACACTTTTGACAGCATTAAAATCTTATAACTTCATGATAAAAGAACCTTTATGACTGCCTTAATATATTTTCCAATTTGTTTTGCTTTCTTACACAATTTTATATAACAGTAAAGTAGTAGATAATGCTAAGTGGGCCTATGTACAAGAGGATATGCAACATGATATTCCTTTAAATTTAAATATATCCTATGATCTGTACTGTTAATTAATATTCAGCATTGCATTCAAATGACATATATATACACATTATATATAAATGGAGAGGATGTTTTAATTTCCCTCACACTATATTTAAACACCACACACCTGGGGTCAAGGATCTGGGAGGTTGTGTTGGCACAGTAGTAGTTGCCGATCTTGTCACCAAACTTGACAGACAGAGCTGTGTCGCAGTCATCTATGCTGATGGTAGCACTCTGAGGATCCAGCATGAACTAATTACTAAAACATTTATGTATGGTTTGGTTGATAAACTTATGGGAATGATCCAAATTAAGCATCTTACAGACTGAACTAAAAATCTGAATAAAATAGTTCACCTTTTAATCAACAACCCATCACAAGCATGGTAAATAAATATTACAAGTGTATGATATAAAAATACTGTATATACTAACTGTTCTTAATGCTTTTACTGTATTAGAAAACACTATACTGTACTGTATAAGTCCCAACACAATTTATTGAAACTCAATTACCCAAGACCTTTAATGTACATTCATTTTATTACAAAACTGGTCAATAAACATATGTACAATTTGTGACTAAAGTTATAAGCATCTATGGCATGCTGTACCGACCCTGTTGTAGTAGTCAACAGTGACGGTGTGCCAATCTCCATCATCGACACCGTCAGGAAGGGAGGCAGAAACCCTTGTGGTGGAGGTGCCTAGGCTGAAGGAGAAAACCACAGTCCCATCCACCATCTCCAACGACACAAAGTCATGCTTCTCATTGTAGCGACCATTGTACAAGAGCAGTCCATTTGACTTCCGGGTGGCAAAGCTGTAAGAAATCCTCTCGTCAGTACTGTACTGTATTGTTTATATTACAGTACAGCAAAAATTCTACAAACAGGAAATAATATACAGTACTTGAATTACTGGTAAAAGTGAGAATTGTAAAGTACTTGGTGCATGATCATGTAGATAAATAATAATAGAGAATAACAGATGAATGTCACCAGTCAACTTACCTGATCTTGATGTGCAGTCTGTGCCGCTGTTTGAGGGCGGGGAAGGTGAGAAAAGAGCCTTTGGAGAAGCGGCGTGATCTTAACTCGCAAGTAGAGGTGTGGTACAGGGAACGGCTACAGTTAGTACAAGTGAACCCACCTGCACCACCTCCATTACCAGCCACTCCTGTACACTTGCTGCCATGCATACACACACCGTCCACACATGATCCGCTTAGCATGTTTACTTTACAGTCTTTACCTGCAGGAAGTAAAGTAGCTCAGCATGTTATAACAATTGTATACTTGCATTAAAGTCTGTGCACAAGCTGAAACAGTATAAACTTGCATGGCAATTTTACTGAATAAAGTTAAATTGAATTGAAACCAGACACAGGATCTGGCTTTCACCTTAAGAAAATATTGACAATACAGCAAAAAGAGTAGTGGTGAAAACTGCAGTGCTCAAATGAATCTTGAGGCTGCAGAATCAATACATATACTGACACAAGGCTCATTTGACCTCACCCAATTTTTATTTTTATTTTACTGGAACAACTTATCAGATTATTGTATGACTATCCAAATGACTTTTTCTTGATGGCTTCATTGATGTTATTCTGGTTACAAGAAATATTTATAAGAACTGTAATAATAATACCGTATATACTCGTCTATAACCCCCCTCGTGTATAGGTCGACCCTGATTTTTTTACCAAGAAATCGTTAATTTATGATATTCCTCGTTTATAGGTCGACCCAAGTTTTTGAGGGTAATGGAACAACAAAACCTTCAGTAAAAACACTACGTCCTATAAACTGAGGCTCGCCGTGCCCGAAACACCGAGTGCCGAAGGCAAATTGTTTACCATTTATTATTACGACACAACACTTTACACCACTTTACACTGAAACGAGGGTAGTTTCAACAAAAATATTGTATATTTCCATTCAAGTATTTATTCAAGTCAATTAGGAGGGAATATTATTGTAATACAACAGTTTTTTAACTGAAAACCATTCGAAAAGCGATTACGGTAACATCTTTTGAACGAAAGAAAGCGAAAGTCATTGTTTTCGTCACGATTTTATCCCACTTTCCACTGTAATACGAACGTCATTTCAGCAAAAATATTACATTTCCGTGAATGCATTATATCAAGCAAAGTATGAATAGAATACCATTGTAATATAACAATATTTTAACCAAAAACTATTAAAAAAACGAGTAACTTCTCTTGAACATCGTAAGGTTAGGTAAAATCTTTTGTTTTCGTCATGTATTTTATCCTATTTTACATTAAAATACATCATGTTTCAGCAAAACTACTATTTATTTCCAAGAATATATTCATTCAGGCACAGTTAAGGTAAAATATACATGTGATGTAACAGTTTTTTAATTGAAAACGATTCGAAAAACACGTGTACCGTCTAGCTGATACACAACAGCTGGTGGTGCGTCATGCGTCGTTGTAAACAATAGGAGGTTGAAGTAGATTACCGGGTATTATATTAAGTGTGAAATATCGAAAAGGATTTTATTACCGTAATTTTTTGTAGATCAATGAGAACTGTGATACAGTATATGATATGATAAGTTAGCCTGTGCTAAGAACTTCAACATAGACTACTGAAAACACGTTGTAAGGTAATTTAGCCTATTGTAAGTTGGTGAGCTTCATTTGCTGAAGGAACTGCACAACTTTTCATTACTAATTGGTACATATTTTACGTTTCCATTGTTTACTGGCAGTAAATGGTAAATATTTTTCATGTCTGAAGCTAAAAGTTGCTCCTCGCCCTTCCCATCATGCACGGGTTCAACCTAACAAAACTATTACGCATGTACAGGACGACCCCCAATTTTTTGCCTAAAAATTTGGTCTTAAAAACTCGAACTATACACGAGTATATACGGTATATATATATATTTTTTAAATTGAACTGTACATTCTATATGGGGCAGCCCTCGCGAGAACAAGACAAGCGACCACACGGCTTTGAGATGTATTTATTAATCCATTATAACCTTCAAAGTTTCCTCTTTTGAATAAAACATTGAGACATTTAGTTTTACTTTTGCTGCTTACTAACTTCTAGCCCAGAGTGCTTCATGTATATCTAACCTGACCAGATCAGCAGGTCTAGTAAGTGATTCATTGGTGTACAGTACATGAGCACTTAACTGACAGTAGTGCATCCTGGCAAACAGGGAAGTGCAACTCACCTGTATATCCTGGTAGACAAACACAGGTGTAGCCACCTTCACGCCGCATGCAAGTGCCATGGTTGCCGCAGGGACTACTGTAGCAAAGGTTCACTTCAGTGTCACACTCGTAGTACTCCCGCATACCCGTGAATCCCTGCCAACATACGTTCATCAGAACATGTCACACCCTTACATAATAGCTGAGCAAGCTATTTATATTTATGGATGAGTTAAATATATATAAATATCTTTGTAATCATATTAAATTCCTTATAATTCTCATGTCAATAAAAAGAGCAAATAACAAACTAGAAACCAGGATTTCACAAACTTTCCTGGAAATTTTAGCATTACAGATAAATTAACTTTAAAATTCAGTACAGTAAAGGGTACTTGTTTTCAAACATTCAATTAAACTAAGGCTTTCTTCCACTTAGCCAATGTGACAAACAGTAGCCAGAGTGGACAAGCAACTTCTCATGAAGAAAAGCCACAAATTTGCCATCACTGACATTAAATTAAACAAACCCACTTACTCAAACATTATAATTTACACAGAGTTGCTGTTTTATCCCGTTGTGCATTACTGGTGAGCTCGGCTAAAAGCATAAAAAATTTAAGTAAAGCGATAATGATGATCATCCTACAAATTGGCCAAGTTAGTTATTGAAGCAGAAGAAGGAATTAATCTAATAGATGGTAATTGGCTATACTGTACATAAAAAAGGCAATAAAAGTCACAACAAAATAACAAACAACAGACTAACTGGCCAAACACCTGCTACAGTAAACTGATAAATTATGTTTGTGTTGACATTATGTAGTGTAGGTACAGTGTCTATACTTACAGTGTATGAGATTTTTACCAGATACAAGTTACCATAAATGATCTTATTAATAAATTTTTGAGACTACTCATGGCAACAATTATTAGCCATCATAATGTGTCTACAAACACTCATACATTATTGGTGTAAGTTTGACAATACAGTATTTCAATGTTTCTCCTAGATTGTTTCACTGTAAATAAGTAGTGTTACAGTCTCATTGTAATCATGTGATCAACATACAAATTTACTTTGGTAAACAAGTAAAGTACTGTATGCCCCATGAACTTTGCACTTTGATTAATGAGAAAGTCTGAATATCTCTGAACTGGTAAACAAATGTGTCCAAACAACTGCACCACAAGAGATCCAGCAATACTTGTGCAGGGATGAATAACAGTGGAATAATTTTTCATGGTAATTAGAAGATTTCTCGTACTATTATATAGAATTAACACAAATACAACACTGGAAACACCAATTGGTGCTTCATACCCATTCTTCTATGGTTCTCCTACGAAGGTCCTACCTTGGGGCACCTGCAGGCAAAAGTGTTCACAGGATAGATGGGGCGGAAAAGGATGCTGCTGGAGGAGATGAAGCCAGAGGCATTGCCAAACTTGAGGACATTAAGACACTCCTCAAAGTTGAGGCAGGGCTCCCGTACACACAGTGTATCATCAAATGGCAGCACCTGCAACACATACCATAAGAAATTACTCTCCCACAAATCTGCTTAATATTACCTCAAATTTGGGTTTTGCTCTTATTATGGTAACTTTAACTTTTGGTAAATTGGTTTGATATTACAGCACAATAAACTGAAGTAGGAGAACAACAAACTCAAACGACCATACAGGTATTTTGAATTGGTCTTGCCTTATAGTTCAATGGCCAAACTTAATTGATATGACCACACTTTAGGTAAAGTTTACTAAAGCTATCAACTATCTTATAATTTTAAACTTAATAAGCATTATCTTTTGTTGGGATAATGTTCACGTCCAGAAAAAGTCACCATTATCTCAAAATTGTATTATAACACCAACTGCACTTAGGCAGAATTCACTATGGCTGAACTGTAGTATTGTACATTCCTTAAATTCTACTCACCAGATCCCTTAATTATCAAAAGTGAGGCTTCTTGCTGCACTCAAAACATAACTGAAACTATTATCTATGGAGAATAAAAACCTACAAATTCCATAGAGTATATTATTGCTTGGAGAGGAAATAACAAGGCAATGTTAGAGCTTGGAGAGGTAATATCACGGCATTTTAGAGCTTGTAGGATTAAGACTGGATTACATTAGAACTTGGTCAAGTAAGATTAAGGTTAATAATCCTTTTGGGATAAGATAAGAGCAAGTTCAAATATGGAGGGATAAAATTAGGGTATGAAACAACATGGGGAAGGGCGAGATAAGAATTTTTCTGAGATTAGGAGTGGAAATGTTGCCAACTATGCCTGGTGATAAGAACTGAATAATACATATCAAGAAGAATACATAAATGAACAGGAAGGAAGGGTTGAAGCTTGTAATGTCGTAAATATAAAACAAAAGAGGTGCGGTGGTCAGGGGGGTACAGCACTCGCCTTCTGTTTTGGGGGTCTCTGTTTGCACCTACAGCACCACCAGTATATCCAGCTGTGAATACATACCTGATTTTACAGTTGAGGAAGTTATAAAAGTTGAGTGCAGTGCTGGCCATACTGCCTCTTTGTGTCCCCCCAAAAAGGCTGGGCGTTTAATGTGCTGTATTGGTAATACCCAGCCAGTCCTATGGGACCAACCTTTACAATGAAATTCTCTCTCTCTCTCTCTTTCCTTTTCTTTCCTCTCTCCCTTATATTTTCCCATTTTTTTTAGTTTTATTTCTTCCATCTTTCCTTTACATATTTCTTTAAATTCTCCTGCAATTTGGCTTTCATTTTCTCTTTTCCTCCTCTGACTCTCTCTTTCCCCATTTTACTCATCTCCCCCTTCTTTTTTCTCTATCTCTCCCTCATTCCTATTACCCCCCTTCTTTCCCTCCTTCCTTTCCCATTCTCCCCTACTCCCTCCTTTCTTCTCCCTCCCTATCCTTCCTTACCTGAACAGTGGAGAGCTTGACGAGGTCAGCCCTGTGGAGGTATACCCTCTCCCTCAGGTACTGGGGTGAGTAGAATTCTTCCCCAAACACATCGGGTCGCTTGGCCGAGAAGCTCACATTAAGGATACGGGCCTCTACGTCTGTGTCATCCTGCGTGGAGAAAACACTGGTTAAAGGTGTCAATTGTGTTTAAAACAGTGGTTAAAGGTATCAACAGTGGTAAAGGTGACAATAGTGGTTAAAGGTATCAACAGTGGTAAAGGTGACAATAGTGGTTAAAGGTATCAACAGAGGCTAAAGGTGTCAACAGTGGTTAGAGGCTCCAACAACAAAGGTTAAAAGGATCAATAGGGAGGAATGAATCAACAGTGGTTAAAAAGCAGGTTAAAATAGTGGTAGAGGCATGACCAGTCGGTAAAAAAAGTGGTGAGAGACAGAGAGTTAAAGAATGATGCAAATTACAGTAATAATCACATTATAAATCATAATACAGTAATACAGGTATAAACATACAAGGAATTAGTTATGTGATGTTTCCAAGACTACAGTAACTAAAACTACCACCACACTACTACTAGTACTATGAACAAACTACCACCACACTACTACTAGTACTACGAACAAACTACCACCATACTACTACTAGTACTACGAACAAACTACCACCACACTACTACTAGTACTACGAACAAACTACCACCATACTACTACTAGTACTACGAACAAACTACCACCACACTACTACTAGTACTACGAACAAACTACCACCACACTACTACTAGTACTATGAACAAACTACCACCACACGATGAAAAGAACAAACTACCACCACACTACTACTAGTACTAATAACTAGAACTAACAGTAAGTATACTACAGTACTATTAACTGGAATTTTTTTTAATAAACATGGCCTCCAGCCTCCCTTATATCCACACCTTCGCTACCATTTTATTACAATAATATTAAATATCATAATACAAAAGCAGCAGCTCCCCTAGCTGAGTTATTTAAGCCACAGATCTATGCGGCAATCAGTGACTCTTGCCTCATAGTCAATATCTACGACAGTTGTTGGCTTAAGGGCCGATGATCTTGTTTCCCTGGGGCAAAGCAATGCAGACCTAAGTAGAAAGAAGGACAGATGACATCCCAACCAGGCTGCAATGTAGTTTCTGGGCTGCTGCTTCTATTCAGATAACACCTCAGCCAATACTACGGTGAAGCACCATGCATTTGGTCCCATCCTGCCAGATGTTGTGAACACCAGAGGAGTGAAGCTGCCTTGATCCAAATTCGGAATTCTCTCAACTTTCGCCCTGTTCTTGCCATTCTCATTAATCCTGTGTGCAGCCTCAAGAGACAGGTTACGGTGACATGCAGCCATGGTGTCGAATATCCTCGAGCACTGACATCCACATGGACTTCGTTGGATGTGTTGGAAGTCTTGTGATGGAAATTCTCAGTCTAGTGGAAGGAGGGTTGGTTCCACCGTGACAGATTTGCTTCAGCACATTTGCTGTGAGATCCCTTACTTCTTCATGCCTCATGCATATGAAGTCCCCCTTCTTGCACATGATATGGTCAATGTTGTAGGATGAGCCACACACACATTGTATGGGTATACCTTCTATTGGCCAACCATACCTAAAAGCAATGACATCTGTAGATTCTTGTTTCTTTAGGCTGAAACCCTTTGCTCTTATCGGTAATGTTGTTAGCCAGCTTGAGGCTCCCATTTTCTGTGCTATAGCTACTTTTTTTCACCATGTTTGCTGACAATTGCTGCATCAGTGGCAGCAAGTTCCTCTGGATTAGTAATTTCCATTCCTCCCAGTCCAAGTGGTAGTGCAAGGAGTGACCTTTCTGCTGGGGTTAAGTGAAGGCTTTTCACTACTGTTGGAAAAAATGCATTCCTGATGGCTTCTTCCAGAGGGTGGAAGAGAGGTCCGATACCAGGGATAGTGTGATTCAGGTAGTTCCAGAGGTGCTCGACTCCATGGGTGAATGCCTCAAATGCCGCATGTGGTTCAGTTTTAGCAATATCAGACAGGGCATGGATTTCTTTTACCCACTCATTTACCTTTCCCATTACATACTCGGACTTGAATTCATTCATGCCAATTACTGCATTTAGGTGCCTTTAGCCATTGTTTGTTATTTTGACCTCATTTCCATTGAACACCTCTATAGCCAAGTCATGGTATTCTGGTTCCAAATGAGGAAGGACTTGCTGGCATTTGGATGATACCCTATTTGTGGACCACAAGATGTTACCAGGTCCACCACTTTTTGATGTCCTCCACTTTTCCTGCTTCTATTAGGTCGTCCACATATGCCACTTGCTTGACCTTGGTTGTTTCATAGTTTATTTTATGCTGGAGCACAGACAGGCCTAGTGCATACATTGCCCTGGCAACTGGGTCCCCCCTGTGTTGTTCCCTCAGGTGACTGTATGGTGGTATCTTCTCTTAAGGCCTTGAAGTCTGTTATACAGAGCTCTGTCGGGTTCCTGTTGGTGTTTTTCATTATACAGTACTGTACATTGGAAGGCTTGGACACTTGATCTTGATGTTGTGCAGTGTAGCCTTGTGATTGATTATGTTGAATGCATTGGAAGCATCAACCAATTGTACAGCCTCACAATCACGCTGCTCAAATATCTTTCTCATGGTGTGAATGGCAGCTCCCCCGAGCCTGGTGGCCAGCACATTCTTGCAGGTTCCCTGCTGCTGCCCTCACATCTTCATTGACCACCTCCATTATATATTTTCCAATGATCTATCTCAACACTTCCCCACCTGGATTTTTATCCAGGGGGATGAGGCAGCTGTCCATTAGAGCTGGTAAGTAATGGCAACAAAAGGTTGCCAGCTTTCTTGCAAGGGCAGTGGTGGTATTGCAGAGATCATTTGCTGTGTCAACAAATTTGGTAGTGATAAGGATGACTCTCCATCCATCTGCATCCAAACCTGAAGGGCCTGCTCCTCCATGTGTCTTCACTGCTTTTTTCCACACCATCCCTCCTGCAATTTTCTTGAACATGACAGCTTTTGAAGGGTCATACGCACTCTGGAACCTGATGACTTCCTCTTCACTTACAGGGGGATGTTTTTCCTTCAGTCGGAAGATTCCACTGCGAGAGATCTTACCTCCGAAGACACTTTTCTTACATGCATCTTGTTACCAAACTTTCTGGCAGCATCCTCAGTGACTTGCTTTCCGTCTCCTGCACTGTACATTTCAGTCTCCTACAATGTTCTTGCCTCACTTATGAGATTATCAAGAGCCCCGTTCTGCCACATTGTCAGCCTTTGCTTCATTGCTGCTACATTTTCCTTGCACTTACTCCTAGCCTGTTTTCTCTGACAGAATAGATGGGGTATTATTGCCAGTATATGGAGTTATTGGGACCAAGGACCTGTTGTGAGTGTAATTATGCAGGAAACAAGTCACCTCCTTGATCATTTAGGAGGTTCAAAGAGGATAGTTGGGGGCCATAGGACATGTCTTTCCAATGTGTTGACTGTGTATCATTCACCTCCTCTTGTTGGCTCAAAAATTTCCAAATGAGTGGGTTCATTATTCTCGTCTGGGATGTCGTCTTTACGTGACGGATCCCTGCCCAAAGGATTCTGACAGCTGGTCCCTTTCTTACAACCTACACAACATCGGTTACTTCTCACACACACATATACAGTTTGTGCATTTCTGGTTCAGGCCAGCACAGACGCAGTGACAGTTGCCCACTAGACTACTTACTACTACTAACTTGAACAACCACCTTATTATTATTACTACTATGACTACACTACTTTTATTTTAATATGGCCTCCAACCATCCATTATAGCCATACCTTCACCATTTATTACATAATTATCCTATTAAAAAAGTAACTACCTATCTGAGTTAGTTAAGCCACAGATATACGAGACATTCCGTGACTGTTACCTCATAGTTTATATCTGCAACTGTTGTTTGTTTAGGGGTTGATGATAGTGTTCCCCGAGACAAAGCAATGCAGACCTGAGCAGAGAGAAGGACAGGCAACTACTACTATGACTACTACTACTACTACTATTCTACTACTACTACTACTTTTTTTTTTTTTTTTTTTATAAATCGTGGCCTCCAGCCTCCCCCAATAGCCACACCTTTGCCACCATTTAATTACCTTAATATTAAATATCCTAATACATAAGTAGCTATCCTATCTGTGTTAAATTAGTTGAGCTGCAGATCTATGCAGCATTCAGTGACAGTAGCCTCATAGTCAATATCTGCAGCAGTTGTCGGAGTTGGGGCAGAAGCTCTCGTTCCCCTGAGGCAGAGCAATGCCGACCGAAGGAGAGAGAAAGACAGTCGACATCTCATCCAGGCTATAACATAACTTCTGGGCTGCTGCTTCTGTTCGGAGATCAACTCCGCGAGTCTGGCGTAGAAACATCTTGCACTTGGTCCCATCCCACCAGAGGTTGTGAACACTAGAGGAGTGAAGCTGCCTTGATCAACGTTTTGAATTCTCTCCCCATATGCCCTTCTCTTGTCATTCTCGTTCCTCCTATGTGCAGCATCGAGAGCTAGGTTACGGTGACATGCGGCCATGGGATAAAATATCCTGATGTCGAAGAAAGCTAGCTGTCCCCGCGTCCAGAATCCTCGAGCACTACTACTACTACTACTCCTTAAGGCTGTAGGAAGTGGTTAGGCCACTTAGGTTTGAGTCTGACCAATAATTTGCCAACTTATTTTGGAAATGCCATAAATTTTCAGGAAAAAAAAACATGAACAGGGATTTAAAAAAAAAGCCGCCAAAATCAGAATGGATAAGCTATCTCAATTCTCCCGCTCATGGAATATTTTTTCCAGGAAGGTGCTAAGATATGGGTGATGTAATTATTTACAGTACTTACAGTCTCTATCCCATGGTCAGCAATGCCTTATGTCCTCTGTAACCAACCACATTAACAAAATTGCTTTTGGTTACACCAGCCACCAATGCCACCAGTGAATATTCATTTAGTAGTTTCAGGTGCATCAAAACTTATTTGAGAACTCAAACATTTAAAATTAATGCAGATACACAGAAAAAAGTGATCAGTTGGGTTTAGTTGATAGTAGCAATGAATATGTTAGGTGTTCTGAACAGGCTATCACACTTTGGTAAATTTAGCACAATGGATTTTGCAAAGACTAAGGTTCTGGTATGATCCAGGACTACAATGACTGAAATGGATGTGAAAACTGATGATAAATGAAAAAAATTCCACATTAACCTTGCATGTATTTTTCCTCTGTCACTCTTAGAATACCTTACTTATAATAGTTAAGCTTAATGTTGATCTTATTCTTGTTGCAGCCAGCCCTAGTCTACATGAATTTCAACATTTCAGTACCACTTATCACTAATAGGCTGCATAGTTTTGCAAATTCAATGCCAGGTCTGGTTGAAGGCATTCGTAATTCTTTCAAGTTCTCAAAATATTATTTTCTACATTGAATATTGTTTGTGATAAATGTGAAATAAATGAACAATACACCATGTTTATTTGTCACCTTTTGTGAGACTTACAAATACAAAACTGCTTCTTATGGGCCTGATAGTACTATAACTGCCACAATACCTGGATGTTGAAGATAAAGATATTTTCCCGAGGACAAGGTATAATAGCAGCCAGGCCGTCCATGAAGTAGGAGAGGAGAGGAGACAGGAAAGCCTCTTGGGTCATCTCTGCCATCCTCACCGTCACGGAGCTAAAAAGCATCGCCTCCGTTACGAGTCTCACCTGAAGATTCATCTCAGCCATCACGTCGTTCAACCCATCTGCAAAAGGAAGATGATATGAGGGGTCACGTACAAGGCAAAATTGTATGATGGTCTTTACTGGAGGAGAGAGATCATTTGGGGTCACAATCAAGCCCAAAATAATTATTAGGTCTTATGCTGCTTGAGAAAGGTCATGTGAGGTTCAGGGGGCAAAGGTCACAAAAACAGTAAAAAATTTATATAATACAGTAAGTCCTTGTATAACGTCGCCCAGATTAACATTGTTTCAGTACTATGTCGCTACTCTTTAGATACCAATAATTTGTCTAAACGTCCCGGCGACTCAATTTAACGTCGTTTTTGCGTCGTCACGGACTACTTTTTATAGCGCATCACCCTCTCTCGTCTGGCCACGCTACGCTCTGTCGGCTTGGCACGCTACCTCACTAGCGGAACGTCACAGCATCCCCAAGTGACGCCAAGCCAGTCTCTGTTACGCTTCCACATCATTCATGCATGCTTAAGTGTTTTTGCTCTTAATACTGTACTCTAACCATTCAAAATGGCTTCCAAGCACCCATCAAGTGCTACTGATGCCAGTGTTGTGGAGAGGCAACATACGACCATTAGCCTTGCTACAAAAATGGAAGTTTTAAACCGGGAGGAGGAGCCACCCACAGGGTCTCAGTGACTCGCCACCCCCTCCCCCTCTCCACTACCCACCACACACTCGCTCCACCACCTCTGCCCACCAGTGAGTACAATACAAAATGATTTAGTTTATTTATATATATATACTATATTCTATAAAAATGACACTGAATTTCTGTATATGTAATGTATTTCATGGGGCAAAGGGAGGCTCAGGAAAGTAACTCCTGTATTTTATTTATTTCTTATGAAGAAAATTGATCCGCTTAACGTTGTTTCGTATAATGTTGTGTTTTCAGGAATGTAGCCTCGACGTTAGACGAGGACTTACTGTACTGTACTTTTTGTGTAATTGCCGGCACCTACACATTAAAGTCTCAAATATGTGAAGAATGTAACTAGAAGCCTAAATGTATGAAATATTTAACTAATAAGTCCTAAATATTTCAAAATTTTAACTAAAATATTGAAATAATGTACTGTACTGCACTGTATATAAAAAAATTATCTAAAAGTGTATAAGTGAAAAATGTAACTAAAAGTATAAAGATGAAGATTTTAACTAAGAAGTTCTAAATATTTAAAAAGAAAATATATGTATACTGTGTATATAACTAAAAAGCTAAAAATGTGAAGAATTTAAAAAAAAATATTATTTGGAGAATTTACCTGAAAGACTAATATAACTTGAATTAAATAAAAATTGGTTAATATTGACGACTGACTGCCAGCAAGTTATCTGTTTTGGTGTTTATTTTCTTACGATAATTTCATCAGTGAGTACTGATATGATAATCCCTTCATGTGCAAATGCTTTGCTTCATAGATATTTAGGCGCCGAAGATGCACACTACTTGTCTTCTTGGCAGTAATGTGGCAGGTGTTAAGTTATGCTAGGTTTTATATTAAGGTTAGGCTCAGTTAAGTTAGTTTAAAAAATTGCACAAACTACAATAGTGACCTCTATAAAACAGTGAAATTGCGGCATTTTTATAAATCATTTCCTATACAAAATTGCTGGCAGGTTAGTCATCAATAATTAAAAAAAAATTCTCAACATGTCCAAAACTTATCCGAAAATTCTAAATACAGATGTAAAGAATTTAACTATCAAAGTCTAAGTAGTGAACTTAATTTGCAATTTCTAAATTATCAAAGAATTTAATTACCGATTTCTAAGTGGAAAACTTAATAATTGAAATCTATATAAGTGAAACATTTAGCTAGCAATGTCTAAATGTAGGTAACAGGTACAGCATATGCCCCCAAAACTGGTAGAGATACAACATACAGTATGTCCAAAATGCATGTACGAGTATAGTAATACTGTACATTCCATTGCAATGGTGTAAACTGGTGTAAGTTACTGTACCAGGTCAGGTTAGACTAAAGATATGGTATTTGTTGACGACATACCTAATGCTGATTTCTCATTGAAAATTAATTTTATAAAGCCAAAATTTCACTGTGTTTTGCAGTGGACACATCTGTAGTTTGGGCAAATGTGTTAAAATGGGGCAATTTCTAAATTAAACCTAACCTAACCCTAGCTGATAAAAAACACAAGCAGCCAAAGCGTCATTAGAAGATTGCATCTACCTAACCAAAGACACCTACTTAACCTTACCTAACTTTGGTAATTATTTACGACATCACAGCCACTGATTTTTCACATAAAACGAATTTAGAAACACTGCAATTCCAGTGTTTTATAGTGAAACTGTTGCAGTTATGGGAAATGTGTTAAAAAGTGGTTATTTCTAAATTAAACCTAACTTATCCTTAGTTGATAAGAAAAACAAGCAGCAGAAGCATAGTTAGAAGACCTCATCAACCCAACCAAAGAAACCTATCAAACCTGACCTAATTTCCAAGGCATGAGGCTCAACCCTCCGGACCCTCCAGCATATTAAACAGAAAGACCTTACTATGATATGGTGTAATTTTACATTTTTGGTGAACGTGAGACCAGCCACCCAAACAGTGTGGCTCTTAAACATATACAGTAATACCCCGCTTTACGCGGTTTCACTTTCCGTGATTTCGCATTTACACGGTACCTCGCCAGAACCGGACTTTCACTTTACGCGGTGCATCTACTCATATACGCAGGAAGCGGCGCAGGCAGGATGCGCACAAGGTCGCCCAGTCATCAAAACATTACCGAGTTCTTCACCCGCCACCCACCACAGCCGGCCCAAGTTAGTGATACAGTAGTGAGGATATGGACTTATATGGACTTTGAGGGGTTTGACAAAGAGGCCCTGCAAGCCTATGTGGTGGATAGTGATACAATTGATACAAGTGATATAGGTGAGAGCCAATAATCTGCCCTCTGCCTCGGAACCAACCCCCCATCCCCGTGTGCCCAGCCATCTTTTCTACTAATATAAGTGTTAAAAAACAATTATTAATTGTGTGTGCATACCATCATAAAATTAAGATTTTATTTTTAATACAACGTACGTATTGTGTCTGAAAAAGTGGAGTTTGGGAGTCGGCCCAGTCTCTATTGGAATTAATCCCAAATGTTCTGTTGTTCACTTTACGCGGTTTTCACTTTCCGCGGTACCCCATGGGTTCAATTGACCGCGTAAATCGGGGTACTACTGTACAGTACTGGCGTTGGTCGGAGATGATTGGCTGTGTACCGCCACACCACGCCGAGAAAGACAAAGTAGTGTGTACCAGACAAAGTAGTGCGCCATTAGTAACCTAATTATCTACCAAACGAAGCAATTTCCACAAGAATGATTATTATATCAGAACTCACCGATGAAAATATGAAAAGAATATAAACATCAAAACAAATAATGCACCAGCTGTGAAGTCCTCCATATTAGCCCTAACTTCCTAGCCAGGAGCCCCCAGCTTATAAAACAGAAAGAAAGTAATATGATTGGGTGTAATATAACGTTTTTTGTGGACATGTAAGAAGCTGCTAGGGCAGAGCATTTTGCAAACAAACACCGAGCAGAGTAAAAAATCGACTTATTGCTGCAAAAGACAAAGTAGTGCCACTAGTGCATGGCTAGGGGCCTAATTATCTACCAAACAAAGCATTTGCCCAAGAAAAGAATATCATATCAGAACTCAGCAGAGAAAATATAGTAAGAAAGGATCCACCAAAATAAATTCGGCTGTGATGGGGATCTCTTTAATAGACGAAGAGTGTGGGGAGATATGATAGAAGTATTTAAGTGGGTAAAAGGAATCAATTAAGGCGGTATAGATAAAGTTCTTATAAAATACGAGCAGGATAGGACTCGTAGCAATGGATTTAAGTTGGATAAGTTCAGGTTTAGGAGGGAGATAGAAAAGAACTGGTTCACAAATAGGGTGGTGGACGAGTGAAACAAGCTTAGCAACTTTGTAGTAAGTGCTGGAATGCTGGAAAGTTTTAAAAGGAGGCTGGATAGATTCTTGGATGATAGAGAGTGGTAGTAACTGTCGACAGGAGCTGCCATGCACAGGGCAACTGGCCTATTGCAGACTCCATATTTTCTTTTGTTCTTATTAACCAAAGATATATATCTTTGTAGACCGCAGACTATACAATGTAGTAGTAGCACCCGCTGTTGTCTGTCAATAAGTGACCTATACTTAAAAAAAAATTCAAAATCAGCATTCTCTTATGGTACTTAAATTATGATACACAACTGAGTTAATTAGAGAAAGTGGCGAATTTAGGAGTACGAGTAAGGAATGGAAATTGAGCAAAGAGGAGTGAGACACTAATGCACAATACATAACCTTCACCACCACCATTATAAATTTTTCTTCGCCATAAACAAAGGCATTATCACGCCCCTTTGTTTGCCTGTCGTGTTTACCTGGCCAACACACCTGGTCAGGTGCCAGCCTCTTGTTTACCCTGCCTTCCACCCTCACCTGCCAACACACATAACCAAAGGATTTAACGCTGTAATCCGGACCAAGGTCATTTGGGTCATGGGAGATTACAGTCGATTAATGTTACTGCACTAAGTAATGTTTACTTTATAAATAAAAAAAAGAAGCAAGATGCACTGTTTGAAATTGCTTTTGCAACAGTCTTGGAATAGGTAAGTTGGTATTTTTATATCTAGATTGATTAGAATTTTTCCTCTCACTCTCATCAGTTGACTGCAATCTGCAGACATGTGACGTCACCTATATAATTTCTGTGCACAATACAGTACTGTATTGAGTTTTAAAAATCACAGGGGTCAGTAGGAGTCCAGTGGTAGTATGGATCAGGACTGGTATTGCGTTCCCAGTCATGTTGGTTGCATGCTTCTCTAACAATGTAAAGAATAACACAACATTAAGATACAAAACAATAATGAAATACATAAAGCAGGAAATAATTGTTCTCGGTGGAGACAACTAGAGAAGGTATAGAGTCCTTATCCACTCTACGGTCTATACTATAGACCGTACTGTAGCCTCAGTGAGTATAAGTTGTATAACTTCACTTGTCATTGTCAACAAACTGGGTAAATATAAATTATAAATTGTTGAAATGTTTATTTTCGTATAAAAAAAAGATCTTATCACTAAACACGAAATGTTAGAA